ACCGCCCGAACAGCCTAAAATCGGACCAAATCGGCCCAGAACCTACTATTTCCATGGGGACCGATCCGGTTTCCGGTTCCAATTTACTAGAACCGGTGAGTACCAATCTGGTTCCACCCGCCGACATATTAAAAATTCCATGCTGTAGTTATATTGTGATATCTGCTTATTCGATATTTATTTGATTTCACAAGAAGTAACATGCATGCACAAAGTCCAATAATTCTGAAAGTTGATAAGGAAAAGTCTTATTAGATGAAGTGATGAAATGTTTCTTCGGATAATGGCTTTTGGTTTACTTTCCTTGAGAATAACTTTGTCTAGATGTGTTCGTATGAAATCAGTACTTTTTTTCTTAATTGTGTGATGAAACTGAAGAAGTATCCACATTGAAATTAGGTTAATCATGGTATTGATTGATGCATGCAATTTTGTAGGGATTGGGAACCTGTTTCATGGATCCACCTGAGAACTGGTCAAGTGAATCCATGGAACCAGCGAGCTGTTTTCGGTTTCAATTTTTTGGAACTTGTCCTTAGTGGGCGGTTTCTAGTTTCAGGGTGAAAACCGCCAACCTAAACCATACTCACCCCTACTCCCTAGCACTACAATTCCTACCAATCCGATCGCTCTTCTCATCAACTCCTAGTTTAGCGCTTTCTCTGTTCAAATTCGATAACATTAAATTGGTACTCATGTTATAAATTGACCTTAAATTAATTTTTGGATCACCAAAAACCCAAACCGATATACTCGTGACGTATTTACCCTTCGTTAGCTTCTGTCAAATTTTTCCGTGAAATTGCCGAGGTAGATGACATCTAGCAATGACTCAATTGACATGGCAAATCCACACGAAAATCCATATCCATTTGAAATAAAATTTATTATAAATATATTAATTTGAAATTTTTCTTGATATTAACTCTTTAGAATACCAGACCTTAGCTTTTCAAAGTTTCCCCATAAAAAGTAAGAGAAAAGGGTGGGTGGAAGGTGGGCAGCACTCTTGGCGAAGAAAAGAAGCAGGCCAAGCGTTCTGGAAAAGAAAAATAGAAAGGTGGGCGGGTCATGATGATTACCTGCCGAATATAGGCAAGATGGGGGGCATCATTGACATGGGGAGATTTCAATGGTCTATCCCCACACAAATTTAAATGTGCTTTTCAATCCGTGATCAAAACCCGAATCGAGGTCCGACGAATTTGTCGGAATTCGCTGCCAATCCGGGGCCGGCTCCGCGCGATCATTGATCCAGGTTTTGGCTAGTACGGCGTTTTCGAAATCGGCTCGAGCGATATCCCGTCTCGATAATTATTAGATGTTATTATTGCATGGGCAATCGGGAAGAGATTCGTTAATTATCGAGATAATAACAATGTCGTGATTGGAGAGAACCCGTGAGAAAATCACGGGTCGAATCCCATGATAAAGATGCAATGACAATCAACAAAGATTCCTGGTCCATGCTTTATATGATGGTCCACATGCAAAAGAAATCGTTTTTCATTCTTCTTTTTTAAATTAATAATCAATTCTTAACCAATAATTAACCAATTCTCTAAATGCATCTCCATCAGCCTCCACATGCAAATTGGCATAATTAAAATTTTTTAATCAATCAGTTAAACATGCTTAGCATAAATAAATAAATAGATCGTTTTAAACATGCCTGACAAACTATTTTTTTTCTCAAGAATCGACGTGGAATGCAACTCGAGGTGGGCAAGATTTGTTATAATATTTTTTTATTTGCCAAGTTGGAACAAAAAAAACGAGTAATTAAAGTTTTTTAATTGGATTCAACGATGATGACAGCTATGATTCTTTATAGGTTGGCTTGCACTAATCAAAGGCGATTAAGGCTTGTCTCATTGCTGATGAATGCGGTGCTGTCGGTAGAACAAAAACTAGGCAAGTGAGGTACTTCGTAAATCAACGTTCTTCAGGTCCGTTTATTTCGCAAAAAATAAAGAAAAAATAATAAAAAAGGTCCCTAAACTTTAGCTCAATATGTAATATAGTCATTGAACTTTTAATTTATTCAATATGGTACATGAATTAGAACTCAATATGCAATGTGGTCAATGGACTTCCAGTTTGTTTTATGTGGTTCCTGGACTTTTACTATGTGTTTAGTTTAGTTCTTGATTATCCTTAAACTTCAATTAATTGAAGAATAATATTGAATATTTTTATCTAATTCGGGGACTAAGCTGAACATCCACCAAAAGTCTAGGGACCACATTGAATAAATTAAAAGCTCAAAGACCACATTGCACATTGAGCTAAAGTTCATGGACCATATTGAACAAATTAAAAGTTTAGGGATCACATTGCATATTGGGCAAAAGTTCAAGGATTATTTGTGTTACTACCCCAAAAAATGAATGATTTGGAAGATATTTCCCTAAAAATGATCATTCGTATCACTTATAATGATTAGTCAACGAAAAGCATTGTCATTATCTATAATAATTATGTTTAAATATTTTTATGAATGATAAAAATATATTTCATTCATGCATTATTTTAAGTAATATAAACGATCATTTCTAAAAAAATTTATTAAAATTATTTATTTTTCTCGAAATAAATAAATAAATAAATTTTATTTTTTTATGTGGAGCAGTTGCATCAAAGCATCTCTTTTTGTCACGCGAGATCTACTTTAGGGAATTATTGAATATTCTCCAATTTTTTGGTGGTCCTTTTTTTTTTATTTATCGAAGTTTGGTGGTCCTTTCAGATGCCAACTCTTCTCAATCTTGTCGATGCGTTCACCATAGGAACGGCCCTAATTGGCGAACAAGCATCGAGAAGTTGTCGGCCACTCATGTGCTGTTGATGGGCCAGGCCCATGGGCATCTGTGGCCCATGATCGTGTGCCATTTTCACTTAGAAACGGCAAAACGAGCCCAAAAAGAGGATTAGGGCGTTCTTCATATGAAGGCGTTTGAATTCAAGATTGCAATCCCAAGTTGAGCCTCAAGATTATAGAATTTCATGTAAGTTGTGGTTACTCTCGGAAAGAATGGGCTTTTCCACATGGTTGGTGTGATCCGGAGCTTGTGGGAGGGGGCTCGTGTTCTTTGTACGGTCCTCGGTTTGGTTGATATCGAACTCCTTTGTGCTCTCTCGGTTCGTGCGGGATAGGTGGATTTTGGTCGGGCCCCGCGATTTCCCCCTTTCTCATTGCCACATAGATCTAGATGTGATTATTTTCTTTAATTCTTGTTAGGTACTAGAATTATATTGTGAAATTCGGGAAAGTGTCAGAAAAGTCCTAAACCTTTTGCATTTGTGTCAATTTAGTTATAAACCCTTTTTTTGTGCCAATTTAGTCCTTCTGGCTAATTTTGGCTAAATATTGCTGACGTGGACGCCGGGCGGCCTACATGGCACCGCCGGCGATGACGTGGATAATTTTTAATAATATTTTTCGAAATTTTTTTATTTTTTATTTTTTCTTTTCTTTCCCTTTCTTTTTTCTTTTTTTCCTTTTTTCTTCTTCCTCCAGCCGGTCGCCGGTCCAGCGACTAGCCATTGGCGATGCTCGACCCTCGTCTAGCCCAGCGCGAGGCTTGAGCCCTCGCCGGGGCTCGCCCTCGCGCAGGCGAGGGTCAGCCTCGCCCAGGCCAAATCTGGCGAGGCCGACCCTCACCCAGGCTAGGGCGACCTCGTCGGGCATCACCCGCGCTAAGGCAACGCCTGGCAAGGCCAGGCCAAGCCAGATCTGGCAAGGGGAGCCCTGGCCGGAGCTCACCCAGGCCTCGCCTGGTTTGGCTAGGCGACGACGACCCTCGCCCAGGTGAGGGTAGCCCGCTGGCCCTCGCCCAAGTGAGGGTAGCCCGCCGGCCATGGCCGGTCACCGGCAAAGGGAGGAAGGGGGGAAGAAAGAAAAAAAATCAGAAAAAATAATTAAAAAATCAAAAAAAATATTAAAATTTTATTTAAAATTGTCCATATCAGCGCCGACGATGCCACATAGGCCGACTGGCATTCACGTCAGCAAAATCCGACCAAAATTAGCCGAAATGATTGAATTGACACTAGTTCAAAATGTTTAGGATTAAATTGGCACAAAAAAGGTTTAGACTAAATTGGCATAAATGTAAAAGGTTTAAGACTTTTCTGACACTTTTTCCTATGAGATTTGGTACTTGACTTGATTAACCACGTGGTCATAGTAGAGGACTGTCATTTGCCTCCTAAACTAGCCGGCTCATAAAGCAAGGAGGTCCAAATGGTCGATCGAAGTCGGCCTGATTTGTCTTGATGGGTGGGCCACCGGTGAGGAGGTCGCCAGGTTTCTCCATGTGGCACAACCCAAAATTATTAGCTTCGTCCATTTTTTTGGTGTTCAATGCAATTTATATTGCTTGTTTATATCATCATCACTTTAGTTTTGTTGCTTCAATCGGGCGTTTGGTGCATTTTGAGCACTCGATCAATCCCCAAAGAGAGTTTAGTTTGATAATCCTTAGGGCCCATATGTATTTGCTAATCAGTGATCTAAACTTGTACATCAAATTGGAAAGACGAATGTGCTTATCATTTGAGCAATCCTAAAAAATTTTTGAAGCATCGGCCTCGATCAAAAAAATAAAATCTCGAATGCTATGAATTAATAAGTCAAAAGTAAAAAAGAGCGCCCCCAAAAAACAAGTGGAAAAAATTATGACACGACTTTGACTAGCATTATCGAGGGGCGAATTACGCTTTGCCCCCACCTGAATTTGATATTTGTTACGATTGCCCCCCTGGTTTTCCATCTTTTTGCAACATCTCCCTTGAATTCCGAAATCGGTCGCGACACTGTTCTCGGCGCCGACGACTCCACTCCGGCCATTTTCCGGCCAGAGGTCGAGCTAGCCTCCGGGGAACATTGTAAAGATTGGAAAAAGTCCAGGGCCAATTCCGAATAACTGCCAAAAATCTGGGGCCAGAATGTAATTATTCCCGCAGCGCGGGGGCGGGCGACAAAAAACCGCGACTCGCGTTTTTCTACTGCCTCCGTCGCCTCTCCCTCTCTTGCCCCGTCGCTGATACGCCGATGGCGACGCTTCAGCTCCAGTTTCAGCTCCGGCGACGCTCGACGGCGGCGCTGGCTCCCCCTCCTCCGCCGTCTCGAGCTTCGGCTTCCAGGTTCCGTCCTCCTCCTCCTCGGCCTCTCCCGAGCTCTTCCGTCGCCTTCTTATCCGCCCTCGCCGTCCGCCCCGGGAGAACCCGCGCCGCCGCTCTCCTTCGCCCGCTTTCCGATTCCCGGCGCCGGTTGCCGCCGCCGTGTCGAACAAGCGGTTCAGGTAACCTCGGCTTCCTCGCCTCGCCCTTCTTTCGGCCTTAAAGTTGCACAAGAATGGTGGGTTTTCTGTTCGGACTTCCCGCGAGCAGCTGGTGCGCCCGTTGTTGCATTGTGCGCGTTCGATCAATTTCCGCGTCGCATGCTTCTGTAATGAACTTTTGATATGGAGCGAAGCTTGTGGAATTGGAAGGGAGACACGTGTGGAAGGAACCTAATCGTGTGTTTGTCAGATATGATATCGCAGCTCGAGCTCGAGAAGCCGGAGCAGAGGCCGGTCAAGCGGGCGAATGGGATTTACTGGATTATACTCTTGAACCTTGGGATTTATGTAGCAGATCACTTGTTTCAGGTACTGAAAATAATTGGGTTCATCTCATTTGCGAAATTGAAAGCTGCCCGGCGTTGATTTCGGCTTGTTTAAAATCTTGCTGCCAATTGCGAATCCTTGTCGAGCGGCAAGTCGAAAAAGAGCAGAGCTTGCGATGTTGTGTCTACGAATGACACGTTAGGGAAGTGTGTTTCGTGTTTCAAGGCGATGCTGCAGCTCCGACGGAGAAGTAGTGAGTTCTCGGAAGCTGGAGTAGGTCTATCAAATGCTAATCTTGGGATTGCGAATTAGGCCTTAAGGGACACTTCCCTGGTCTCTGCATTCGGTATAGTTACGGAAATGTAATCCTAAACGAAAAGATAAAAGGTTGTCTGCCTGTGTATCGGAGCTTAAGTTGCTCTGTGGTTGAACATGACAAAATCTCTAGAACTCAGAAGTCTAACATGTGAATCAAAAGATGAAGGTTGGAACTTTAGGGAGGGGATCCTGTTTAGGTGTTGCATGTCCTATTTGGTTGCACCATAAGAAATATGGATGCGGGGTCTCGATTGATATTAAAGCTCACCTTTCTGTTTTAAGAGGACTCTATTTTGTCCATAATCAGCACGTTACATAGGGTGCAGGCGGACTGATAAACTGTTTTCTGTAATCTCTCTTTACTTTTTTAGGTCCAGGGAATCAAAAGTCTCTACTTGTACCACAATTGGCCTACTTGGTACCAGTTTGTGACAGCAACATTCTGCCACGCTGATTGGTGAGGCTGTTATGACAAGTTCCACTTACAGTGGTCGCCTTCTGAATTTGTAAGTCTTATCATCGTGCCTCGTGTCTAACTCAGGAACCATCTCTCAAGCAACCTCTTCTTCTTGTACATATTTGGTAAGGTCTTTTATATTGGGATGGATTCCTGGCTTTGATTCATCCTGAAATATGACTCTACTCTTTCTCTGTGGTTAGGTAAACTTGTTGAGGAAGAGGAAGGAAATTTCGCTTTATGGTTTTCCTACATTCTAACGGGGGCCGGAGCAAACCTCGTCTCATGGCTTCTTTTACCAAGAAATTCAGTTTCTGTCGGAGCCTCTGGTGCTGTTTTTGGGTTATTTGCCATTAGTGTGCTTGTGAAGGTGAGCCAAAGCGTCGTCAGCTGATCAGCAATTTATGTCTTGTGGAAATTTTTAACTCCTCCATTTTTCTGATTGAAGATGTCATGGGACTGGAGGAAGATCCTTGAAGTGCTCATATTGGGCCAGTTTGTTATAAAGAGGGTAAGCATTCATTCTTCTTCAAATCATATTCTGAGCACGTGAGAAGACTCGAAGGTCGAAAAAGAGTTTCTTCTGTAGCTTCAGTCCATGTTTATGCTATTCCCGTGTCCTTGATAGGTGATGGAAGCAGCCCAAGCTTCGGCAGGGTTTTCAGCCTCTTTGCATGGAAACTATTCCTTACAGGGTATTAATCACATAGCGCATCTCTCTGGCGCTCTTGTTGGTGTGTTTCTAGTATGGCTTCTTAACAGAGTTCCGCCAGAATCCCCTAACCAGGATAAATCGATTCTCCAGAGGAAAATGGATGGGAAGTAAATATTCGAATGTGATCATACGTGTAAAAGTTCCCTTTGTTGTAATTGTCCGATTGTCTCGAACTAGAACAGTCCTTATTCATACCTTTGATTCCTTTTACTTGCTAGTAAAATGTTCATCGAACAGTCCTTATTCATACCTTTGATTCCTTTTACTTGCTAGTAAAATGTTCACGATGAACGGATCTTCACAGAGTGGCTGTCTACAGACTGTTGCCCTTTTGAAGCTCCATTTTCATTTTTTTTGACTTTTGTTGTGCATGTAGTATGTCTATTTTCCCCCGAAGAACCGAGATGCACTTCTCACATTTCCATTTCTATTTCTGTTTTTGAGTTTCCTTGTAAATTACTTTTAGGCTGAAAAACCCATAGAGGAGAACACTGCTAACATGATCTTTTTGGGTAGGATCAGTTGACCAAATCACTGATGCATAAGTGACGATTATACCGTGTGCGTCAGGTGCATAGCCAATGGAACAGGTTGAAATACAAAAGGCGTCTGGAAGCCGAGCATAACGAAGAGCATTCGTATTGACAAGAAAGTTTCGGGCTTCAAGTATCGAAGCAAAAGCTATAGGAGAGCAATGCAGCTGATATAGACTATTCAGTCGACTCTACAAGTGAACCGCTCTCAGTTCCTCCGAAGGATAGACTCGATGCAATCCTAACACGTTAGTGCTTGAAAGTCATAAGTTCGACTAATACTAGATCTACTGGAACTGTTTTATTAAACTGTTATATTAAGACCGGTTTGCCTAGCTTTCCCCTTTCCGACTTTCTGTCGTACATACGTGACAGTCCCAAGTAAGGCCATAAAGAATACTCGCGACATTTTCAAGTGCATTTGTACTTTTGAAGCTTTTGAAAGAAAAACCAAAAGTTATGGAAAACCAAATGCCAAAAGTAAGGAAAACAACGAGCGAGAAGCGACTTCTTTTGACCTCTCACATCTGACTCCTTAAAGGTTTAAATGCCAAATCTAAATCAAATAGAGGTTGCCCATTTAAAGAACCAACAGAATGTACTGAAATTTGCCTCGATCGTATAACAATAGCCACGTCATCCTCTACAGGAAATGGAAAAACTATTACAAGAACCTTTGCAACGTTTCTCAATCGAAAAAAAGAAGCTGATTATCCGTTCTTCGTTGATTATGAAACATTTCAGATATCAATGGGGAAGTTTATAGCCAATTTGCAACACTGATAAGGTGTCGCAAGAGGGCACTCTACAATAGTACTCGATGACACGGCTCATCTGCAGCCCCAAGGGAAAGGTGCAGTGTCATTCACTTTTCGCTGCCTTCTTGTGCAATGTGTTACTAAGAATTCCTCCGCTCTTGTGATTTTCACCCATTCCCGAATGACGATGGCAATTGAACCAAGCAAAACTCCCTCAGAAGCTAAATATTGGATACATGGGAGACCAAGTTCACTGTACACCAAATTTGGACAAGGCCGACTGGAATAGAGTCGAGAAGGTCTGAGACATACTCTGGTCATCAGCTTTGATCTTTACTTGTGCTTTAGCTGATGATGTATTAATTATACATTCCACCAGAAAATTTGAAGATTCTTCCGCTTTCTGACCAAAGAAGAAAAACTTAAAATTAGGGGATTGACCACCTGATGCAATGCAGTGGATGGAATGGCCTTGCATGTGCCGAAGAAGGGCTTGGGGTGTGATCAATGCCACAATTCCTTGTGGACTTACTGAAAATTCCTGCAGCAGGCGATGATATGTCTATCAGAAATAAGAAATCATAGAACAGCACTACCTACTTCTCAATTAAAGAAAATCAAACTGATAAATGTAATACTGTTGCCTGCCAGCTACCCCGGTTCAATACCGTCACTGATGCACATATAGAAGGTTCCTTAGTAGATGATTGTCATTCACTCGGTGCCAGTAAATGGATAACAAACTAACTATATAGTTAACAAAAAAAATATCAAAAAAGGTTCCAGATACTTAATGAGCTGCAACATTGATAGCAAATCTTAATCATAGCATATGAGATTACTTGAATAGATTATCGCGTTAAACATGATAGTTGACAACAAAGAATTGATATCTATCAAAACAGCATCAAAAACCTGAGTTAAGGATATTGGTAGCTGCCGCCACTTCTGCTGAAAAGTTCCTGGATCTAGCACAGCCTTTGGATTAAGGCTCAGAGGAGGAGGTGAAGGGGCAGGCGCAGGTGTGACTGATAAACCAAGACCGAGTAAATCATCAATGGCCAAACTAGCAGCTGGCACATGACCTGGTAGACCGGATGTTAAATTTACTAGATCTGATTGGATCTGTGAGGTAGGAACAGATGCAGGTGCATCGTATAGAGGAGCACTATATGCAGAACCGTTGCTGCTGAGGGCTCTGCCATCTTCCTTCTCAGAGGTACTCAAAAGCAAATCCTTGTCATTTGCATCAACTTGCTGTGCAGGAACAACAGTATCTACAGCATCTGCTCCAATGGATAAGTTACTAAGCTCGTCTGCGAACTCAAATGGGCCACGATGCTCCTTATCCGTAAACATGTAAGACGGCTGCAAGCAATTAGAAAGGAGTTAATTTGACTCCCCATAGTAAATCCTAGCATAACAGGTCAACGTTTGAACGTATTCAACACCAATATAACTTAGACAATCAGATTGAAGAGAGAAACTTTTGATAAGAAAAGATAGATAGGAAACCAGTATGAACGGAAGTACTTCCTCATCAGAACATTTTTTGACCTCCTCCAGAGAACTTGGCAAATATATGTAAAAATCTATTTTAGGGTAATCAGAGATTCACAATGAAAACACATAACTTCTTTCTGCGTAGATCCAGACAATCTAAATGCAGAAATAGATAAGCACAAAGGACATTATGCTGGATTAAGCAAAAATACATTGGATGGCCAGTAAATGAATTTGCTTAGCAGAATGTTTTGGATGTTTGGAGACAGGAGAGTGAACTGGAAATGAAGCCAAACGTCTAGGGAGATCATTTTTCCAGCTGAAGGATTCATTAAAAAACTTGTTCATTTCACAATAAAGATAGGACCTGCATCTTTTCTCTTAGCAGGCTGTAATTCCAAAAGGAAGAGAAAGCAAAAGCCTCCGATCATCCAGGAATAAAAGAACAGAGCAATTTATACATTTCACTCAGAATATTAAACGAATTAAGGCAAGTTCTGTTTAAAACAGGCAGACAGCTCCAGCTCTATGGAAGGTGCATATAATGGGCAAAGAGTCGGAAGAAAAATGCAGAAATATAAGCAAAATATAGGCATCTTACTTAAATGTGACAAAACTGTACAAGAGGGAATAGAAGTTCCTAAGAAGATAGAACACTAGTCACCTTCTGGTACACAACAGATAGACTGTTGAACTCATCAAATATCCTGTCTTTGATTTCACTGTTTTGAGTATCGGCAAAAACTGAAACAGCTTGCTTGGGAGGGTTCACAACACGTTCTGCTACAGATGCATTATACTGCAAAAGCCTGTAGTAGAACAAGGCTCTATCATGAACATCCTGCAATGGGAGATTGATAACAACTAGCAGGTTAAGAATCCATTGTAAAGCGTATTATGTCAACACACAGAACGATTCCTACCTGGTGAAAATCAGCAAGCCCTGCAGCTAATGCATCTCCAAGGGCTTTCTGAGTCTCTGGTGGCCTTTTGAAGAAGCATTTCATCACAGCTGTTAAGAGATGTAAACGGACCTGGGGGAATAAATAGCACCAAAGGTTACCAAATGGTATGGCTAAGAATATTATTTTTAGATAAAATTGACCTTGTCTGCAGAACCACAAAGTCAACTTTTTTTGTAGAACCACAACTGATTTGTGAGAATAAGTGACTACTAGGAGACAGCTTAAGCACACATGGATATAAATGAAAGTTTTGTCACTATTTTGCTGTTGCGCAATACTTTACTTTTCAGAAAAACCAAATTTTCTAAGCAAATTGATCTCTTTGTTCCTTCCTTGATATAGGGGCATCGAGAGTTTTAACTCCATATTTCCCCTTCCCAAACCATTGGAAAGCAAAGCAAAAAGAGAGAAAAGATTAGACAGGATGTTCAAATTAGCGCACATTTAACAAGCGACGGACGAATCTAGAATACACCAAATGTAACGGAGGATGTCTTGAAATCTGGTTACTACACTGTTAAATGAAGTCAGCAACCAATAGGTATACCATGCAAGTTAGATCACTTCCAAGTTTAAGAGTAGGTATGGATTTGCTAATTGAGAAACATAAATAATGATAATGAATCTACGATGCTTTTCATATGAGTGATCATAATAGCAAGAGGCTTGAAGTTCTCGACAGCATACAAGATGAGGTACATATTCAGTTAGAAAATGCAAAGAGAGGTACCAATTGCACACTGGCACTACGATATATGTTTTCAAGTCCCTCAAGAGATAGACATTCATCGAATCATCACATAAAACTTAATCCATCAAGTGTGAGGAGATCCTTTGCCCTTTTACATGGAGGTCGCATCATTTTAAGCCCAACAAGCCACAAGGAAGGCTGTGGGCCATATACACTAGCAGAGAATGAGACAATAATAGTGCGGTAAACCAGCGTCATATTACCTCAGAGGAGTGCTCATCTTCCCAATTTTCAATCAGGCTTTCCAATATATAAGGAGCATCATCCATATCCTGTGAATATTCCCCCAACATCCATATAAGAGCTGCCTTCGCCTTTGGCTCTTGGACATTATTGGAACTGATATTTCCAACAACAGCAATGCAGTCTTGGCTCCATTGAGGATATTTCCTCAGCAAATCTTTTACAAGAACCTGCATCACAATTGGACTCAGATCAATAAGGCCAATTTCACAGCCGTAGCATGGACAAATTCTTGTGAACAACTACCAGAGTCTCTGCCGTCACATAGTCCTTCTCCATTTCTAGAAATTGAAGAAGCCTATCCACAATGGCATTAACATCATACTGCTGAAGCGCAATCTTTCCAACAGCACGAATTGACTCCCTTGCAATAGGAATGTCAACATTCGCAGCATATTCACATAGCTCTGTCACTGAGATTGACCCAAGAACACCAAGAATCAGTAACAATCAAAAGATAACATGATAGGATGTGCATATGTCCTGACAAATTTTCCCTCCTCCAAATACTCCAAGGTGGTTCAAAGTGAGTCAAGGTTGTGTTTACTCACCAATTTCATAAGTGTTACTCTCATTTGCGACCGCTGTCAGCATCTCGAGCTTCAACTTCTTCACATAAAATGGCTCGTTGTATTGGCAGTAAAAGTGTTTGTAGTCTGAGGAAAATAAAATTGGTGCACGCATCACTAAGAGATGCAGATGGCTTAAAACCGCGTAGGATTGCTCCGGACTGCCGGAGCTCACAAGTGTGAGCAAAGGGGCTTTAATACGTTCATAGACCTAATCAAGCCAAAAATAAAACCGAATTCAGGGCTAGGAACTGCGAATTGCTGAGCAAATAAATGATAACCATGCAACAAAATTACAAAAGTATCCATCTCAAACATTTAAACACATAACATTCATTCACTTGAGTAGTGTACATATAAAAAGTCTGCAGACGTATCACACACATCAAAATAGAATGGAGTTAGAAATAGAAGATGAATAAATCTAATTGGAATCCTGCTCACTAGCTTGAGAGCCACCATATATGCTTTTTCAGCTATCTTCTTTGCAACTATATTATGTCCGGTCAGCACCTCTTTATTAGAAACTAATTTTAGTTTGTCATGAGTGATGCCTTCACGAACATGACCAAAATTCAAGCAGGCTAGCACACCCAATATGTCATTTAGGCAACTCAATCTTTCAAGAACTAATGAATCGGAGGTCCTCTTGAATTCTGGAAGTTTTCAATATGCAATGGCAGCAAAATAACTGCTAGTATAATACCATATTTTGACATTGAAAAAAGTTGCAATAGGCACCTGCTGATGAACGTCAGTCATGGACAAGGTCAGCTGTAGAAACACCTTGATGGTTGCCAAGACAACAGCACCATTAGCATGTTGAAGTCTATCTTCAAGGAGGTTCATGATGTCAAATATCTCATTGCTATCTGTCGGTACATACTTAGCAACTAACTCCAACAGGAGAGATTGGGCCCACTCACTGAATTCCTTAATCCTGCATGCAGCCAAACATTTACATTCTACTTATGACATCCCACGCTGTGAAGAAAATTTTATGCTCTAATGAAGTGAGCCAATTGCTCAAGGACGAAAGCATCATAATGCATCCTAACAGCATTTCCAAGCACAAGTTATCCTCTTGGAGAAAACATCAACACAAACAACACAACTATACAATGAGTAGCGACAGATTAGTCATTGCAGGGTATTCGGATGCCAAATATGCCAATACTCAAAGCTTGCATTTCTGACCCCATATAGAGTTTTCCACCTCAAAAATCCGTATAACCAGGAATAAATTCAAACTTGTCAGAAAAGGCCCAATTAAGTAGATCAGGCAATTCTATCAACAGCCCAGATCGCAGTTATATGCTCTAGATTTTTTCTTTTAAAAAAAAAATTGGGGGCTTATTTATGTAATCGTCATTTGAGCTTACTTCTATGTAAACTAAGTTAAGACTTATAAGTGGCATGCATCCTCTAATATTAGTTTCTGACGACATTAAGAGGTACATCATCTCATGCTGCGGTTAAGAGATACCAACTAAGGCAGGTTTATGGACTAACAAAACAGCTCGCCAGACCTCAGACTACTGTCATCAAAGTACAAATTTCAATCAATTCTAGCTCCTAATGAAATTTGTACAAGCGGTAAAACATATGGCAATTGCAGATACCGATTCAAAAAGAAATAGATGAGTGGCTTGCTAATTAAAGCTTCTCTCTCCCTGGATGCTTCCTCAGAGTTGCTTGCCTCCAAGGTCCATATCTCTTGTAATGCTGCCAAACAATTTGCGATGACCTAATAAGACAACAATGTTAATCTCGTTCTGCAAAAGAATGGGACAATACAACATATGTAGATAAAAGGAGGTCATTGAGAAAAGATCGGGTAAACATGATCCCACCTGGGTGTCAGGGTCTTTCAGCATCAAATGCTTAAGCATCGCTGGAAAGTCTGCATCAATACATGTCGCAGCTGAAATATGATACAGTTTCAGAACCCCAATCACTGCCACCGTTCTCACATAACTGTTACTGTCCTTTAAACCTGAACCCAATGGGCCAACCAAGTACTCGACCAAGTTGGCAACTCTCAACGAGCACAAGCTTCGCAGTGCAAGCCCACGAATCATTGGATCCTCATCCTTGCAGTCCCTCTGAAGAAAATTAATCGTCAAAAGTGCGAGATCTGGATTGACCTTGGCATAGTTCCCAACATAGAGATAACACATCTTCTTCAGGACTATATCTGAAGTTGAGGAGCACATGACCATTTCACCGAAGACAGACGAGACATCAATTCCTACAGTCATGTAGGAGATCACTTTCTTGAACAAATCACGCTTGGAGTCATCAACACCCGGAGCTCGACTTCCAGCAAGCTGCCGGAGTTGTGATTTTAGATCCGAAACTTCACCTTTTCTGCCATTATTTGGATTTATAGTGAGAAAAAGGAGTCATCAAATCCAAATACTTCTTGAAACAAAACCATCCTCAATATGACCATTAAATAATGCAAAAACCCAAGAAAATTTCCTTCTCATCAAGCGACCAAAGTACCTATTTGGGGGCTGTGTTTGAGAGGGCTAAATTAATACGTCAAAAGCAACAGCAAAAGCAAAAAGCCCAATCGCACCAAACAAGCCGTTAGATTTTCTTTCTCAGCTTTACTCACGAAACAAACCATTTGGGACAACTAAATCCTCCCATTCATAAAAAGTGAAACATCAGACCAGACGGAATCACCAAGATAGGAGAAATTTCACTCTCGCTAACTGGGCAATTCTCTTCTAAAGCTCCAGAAACTGACAGAAACATGAATAGTACCACAAGCATCCAGATTATGGTCACACATATCAACACTAGGAGTTCTAAGCATGTTCTTCTATCTCCATGCAAGAAATGGAAATGCTGAGTAAATGCATATGCATCAGAACAATCCGAGAAGAAGGCTCGATGACGTAGACAATCGCAAACGATAGCAAGCGGAGCATTGAACTGAAATTTCCAACTCGATTTTCTCGATTCCAACTCCAGGAAAAACAAATTATCCTGCGCCGATATCGGCTCCTAGGCAGCTTTCGCTACAACGATTAAGAATGCGACATCCAATTGCACCGAGGCCGACCCAATCGCGACCAAAACCGCGATCATCACTAGAGATCGCAGCGAACGACGCAGAAACAGAACCGGAGGCGATTCCTCTTCCGAGAGAAGTCGATCGGGCGCGGAACTGCGGGGGCGATGGGATCAGGACTCACCCGGAAGGCTGGGACGGCGACGGCGACCGCTGCGACTGAGCCGGCGGAGCCATGGCGGCGGTTCCTCGGAGTCGGCGATCACGAGCTCCGCCCAGGCGCCGGCGAGAGAGATCTGGCAATTGAAGCGGGGAGAGGGATCTCCGGCGGGCGAACTCGAAGCTCGCGCGAGCCTCGGATATGGAGGTCGAAGAAGGGAAGGCGACGATGAAGTTCACGTCGCGAGGAGGTTTCCGTCCGTCACTGACTGCTCCGTGAACAAGCTATTATAGATCGTGTGCTTTTACGCCGTGCCGTTTTGGGGACGAAGAGGGCGTGTGTTTTTTGGCCAGCGGAGGACGACTGTGACTAGAAGAAGAAGGTGAAACGACCCTCCGTTTCGGAGCTGAGCTCGCTTCATGCGACAGACAAAATGGCCAAACGACTCAAAAAAGGTAAAAATCTAAAGGGATGATCATCACACAAATTTTCAACTCAGAGACTCGGTGCGCAAGTACCGTCCCGAACTTTCAATTTATTTAGTGCGGGCCTGGACTTTTAACCCCCGCACGAAGTATCGCCCCGACATTAAACTTTTCAACTAAGAGAGAGGCTACATTCGGTAACCCTTTGCCATAATTTTTTGGGGGGCCTCATGGGCTTTGGACATATGTAAGAAGGACAAATGTAAGTAACCTTGGCAAATTTTTTGGGAAAAGCATTTAGATTTTTGTAACCTAATTTAAGTAAGTCGGCCAAAAAAAATCCTAATTTAAGTAAGATTTTTTGGTTAAAAAAAAGTAAGATTTAGGGTGAAAATAAGGATTTGAATAAAGATCAAGTGATTTTAGTGCTTTAGTTAACCTTAACGTCAAGGAGAAAACATAATAAAAATTTAATTGTACTTTTTCAAAATTGCTTTTACGCACAATCTGTCAATCACATTTTCGCCATAAAGATTTTAGGAGTATTTCCTGACTATAAAACGGCCAAGTCTCTAAATTAGGGCACCGGATTTTGGGAAAAAAGCCACGCCCGCGAATGCTTCGTCTTTCCTCCAGAAGACTCGGAGAGTTCACCGGCGGAGAGCTAAAGGGAGGGGAGAGCCGAGCTCCGGCCGACGCTCGACTGGTAAGCCGCTCCGTCGTCCTTCCTCACCTTCCTTCCTTCCTTCCCTCTCGTTCTCGTCAATGCTCTGCGTTTGTCCGGCTCTCTTTTGATTAGCTAGCTAGGCAGATTGGGTTGTTGCTTTGACTGTCGAACCGACGCGGATTGCGTGCGCGTGCGCGTGCGAGATTGATGGTTTTGATCGTGGGGAGCAAAGTTGGGCGTCGCGGGATTTGTCGAAGCGGCGCGTCGGGTTTGTGATTTGAATAACCGGGGTTCTGCCATGTTGAATTGGGTTTTTGTTGACCGTACGTGTTGTTCGAGTCCTGGAAAATGGGGCGGTGCTGCCCCTTGCTTACAGAACGAGGTCGTGTCTCATGTTCCTTGTGGTCTTTTGTGGTACAGGCGGGGGAGAAAGGTCTATATTAGGAGAGCATGGCGGAGACGAGCAGAAGTGATGATATTGACTTCAAGTGGGGTAGAAAGAAAGGGGTTAGCGGAAAGAAAAGAGGGGTTCAGTTCTACGATTCCTTTTATTTAGATGGCGTGGAGTACAATCTCTACGATTGCGTCTACCTGTTTAAGGAAAGCGAGCCTGAGCCCTACATCGGGAAGCTCGTAAGAATATGGGAAGCTCCAGACAAGTCGAGGAGGGCGAAGATTCTCTGGTTTTTCCGGCCTTGTGAGATCGTCAATCACCTAGGAACCGAAGAGCTGCGCGAGAATGAGTTAGTTTTGGCATCTGGTGAAGGTGTAGGTCTTGCAAATGTTAATCCTCTGGTAAGTACTTGTTTTACGATGGTTGCAAATGCTGTCCTATACTTGATCAAAGTTGCTGTTTAGAAGTTGTCTACATGCTTGAGATGGTTGCTTTGGCATGATTCTGAAGTTCCTTTTACATTATAATATCTACTGATGTCAATGATCTAGTCTCTCATGTATGCTCGCTAATTTGCGACAGAAATGCTGTTGAATATGGCAATGCGATCCCTGTTAGAGTTACATTTTTGTGTAAATGTTTGGGTTAAATTGGACTTCCAATTTTAAATGACATTGTTGTTTGTTTCTCTGGAAACCAACCTGGAATAGCCGTTTTCAGTAATTTCTTGTACTTTCCTTTACTTGGGGATCCTGTAGTATGACCGTCTATGTCAGGGCATCCAAATACTAATCAAGCGCATCATAGTACTTGAGCGTCTAAAAAGTTGGTAATAGTCCCTCCAATTTCACACGTTAGTAGGTAAGATTGTTTAAATTTCCGGAGTTTCCTCATTCGCCACTCCATTAGGGGGAGCATATTACTTAATCCTCTATACTGAATTTCGATCTCTTTCACTACTTCACACCAGTACATCTTCAGAAGTTGGACAAACCTTTCAATTATACTAAGAATAAAAAAATGAGCAAAGGGCTTTGAACTCCCAATCTTGGGAACGTTAATGTGATAAATGTTAAATCACACTATCAGCTAACAATTTTTCTTTAGATAAGTTGCCTGAAGTCCCACTGTTCCTACTGAGCTTTTGATTTGTATGATTTTTTTTCCCTAGCCATTGTATTATGCCACACCCACCATGTTTTTCAGTGGCGATTGAGTTGATCCTGTTTGATTCACCTATCAAAAAAAGAAGAAATAAAGAAAGAACGAATTGAGCCTATTGAGTTTGAACGATTTCTTTTATCATCTTTTATTTGAATATCGGCCCTTTCTGATCTAGTGTTGTTTACCATATTTTTGGTTGGAGCTGTTTCCTCTATCAAAAGTAATTTGGTTTGTTATCTTAAGGTGTCGTCCCTTTGGTTGTGGAAAGAATCTTGAGATTTATTTCTGTATATCACATGCATAAATATACACGCGAGTACGAAGTAGATGCAGAAATGCTTTATGCCCTTGACACCCCAAGCAATAAACAATAAACAAGTAACAGAATAGATTAAGCCTATTCTTTGGTGAAAACATAAGGGTTTCAATCTAGCTCGTTGTGCTCCTGTAATTGCAACTTATTAGTTCAATCTTCCAATCAAGTTTGAGTTGCACCTAGAGGGATCTCTAAGGATTTTTTATGAGTCTGCCTTAATAAGGATTGTACTATTTACTTAAGTTGCTGCCTTAAGTTTGTTCTGTCCGGATGTGCTAAGTTATTAGATGATCTTTAAACTTGTCATTTCCTGTCTATTCTATGAGCTTTTACAGGAGACAGTGGCAGAATTAGCCACACTAGTTCACTTGAAGTTAAAATTTAGATGCTGACTAACATATGTACTGATATAGGAAGCAATTGCTGGGAAATGCCACGTCATCTGCACTTCAAAGGACAAAAGGAATCTGCAACCTTCAGATGAAGAGCTTCAAATGGCTGACTTTGTGTTTTTTCGTACATTTGATGTCGCGCAATGCAAAATAATGAACGAGATAGATGAGCAAATTGCTGGCATTGAAGGTATGTATTTTGCTTTTAGAGCCTACCATTGGATAATTGCTGGTTTTCTTATTATTTAATGAGAGAGAAATTGAGCTTTGCTTAGTTGGTTCTGATACCTAGGATTTATGGAAATTTCATTTTTGGTTATCACATGTAGGATGTTACTGCCACTTAGACCCGATCCACCCAAATATAGAGCATAGCTAAAACGGCCTTTTTGTTCGACTTAAAGACGAACTAAACATCTGTTAAGCTTACATAGGTCCCAACAGAATTTTATGGAACTGGAATCTCAAAGTAGGCCCAATATGGTCAAAGCTGCATATAGCGCTTGCTTAGGTGATGAGGCGAGGTGGGGCACTGAGATTCTACCTTTGTAAAGTTTGAATGAGGTGACAAGGAACGCACTTTTGGTGCTTTTGTCATTAGGTGCTGTTAACATTTTTGCTCACTTGATGGAAAGGTGAAGAAGTGACGAGCCTTGGACATAAAAGAAAAAACCTGTTGTCCCTCTATCCGGAGTAGATACATGCAGCATGGGCCCCGGTAGTGTAATTTTAAGCACTAAAATAGTGTTAAACCTGCTAAGGCTACTTCTCTCAGAAAAAGAAGTCAAAAACTAACACTGAAGGGTTTATCTGATTAATTTGGAATTTTAAGTGCTGAAAAGTTTAGTGAGTGCCAATAAGCATAAGTCAAGTTTGTTGGGTGCTCATTTAATATTAAATTAAGTAGGGGATTCAATAAAATTGTTTGATAAATGATTATAAATATATTTATTGAAAATTGGAATGATGTAACGCCAAGTTATCCTGTTAATCTCGCTTTCTTAAGATTGCCACTACTTTTCTATATTGCATTATAAACTTGCTCTAAGTATAAGTCCAATAAAAATTTTCCAGTTGAGGGCTTTTTCAGTATGCTGTATTCACATTTATGGCTGCATTTTTACATCTATAATGACACTGCCTTGAAACTTTTGAGATAGGTACAACCACCTAAAGCAATGGAAGATAAAAGGGGAAAAAAGATGAATATTCTCCTATTGCCATTGTCAACTTCGTGAATATAGATGTAAATTGAAGTGTAGGTGTATTGTTTATGCTTTAATAATGCTTGGCCTTGTTAAATGGGGATGATATTTTTAGATATCCATATTACTCATATTAGTTGTTTTTCAAATTGTCATGATTCCACTCTAGCATCTTTGATTGGATTGGGTTTTCTCTTAACATGACAATTACTATGTGCTTATGTGGAGCTTAACTAATGGTCTAGAAATGCTAGTCCTTCTCCATGGACATACAAGTGGAAGTCTGCGCAAGTTTGTTGAGAGCACGGAAACACTATGTAACTACTACGCTGACTAAATCAAAATATTAATAGACAAACATAATGGGTGTGACAAACCAAAATACATGTGGAATGAAAGGCATTTATCCAAAATGTGACCATAAATGTATTTTAGTTTGCAAGTGATGGTTCTTTATCACACAATAAAGGTATACTTTTTGGGAATTTTGGTAAAACTTAAAGATAATTGCTAAAAGACAAATGGTCACTAAAGCCATGTCTTAACTAATTGGGTTTGACTCTTTAATTAAGTAGGTTCATTCCTACTTAAGCTTTCAAGTGCTCTCTTATTGAGATCATTGCTGAGTGTGCTATTTATCGAGCACACTGAACATTTATGTAGTGATGAAACTTTTAATTTCCAGTACTTGATAGGATAATCAGACAAAATCATAAAGGAGTACTTGTGTGTGTTAAAACAATTGAAAATATATCTTTTGATCAAATGTTTTTAATCATCGCAGTTAAGTTCATCTTTAATAGAAACGGAAGTCTCAATCGCAATGCTGTTGAAAAGGTTGTCTCTCTTGACAAAGAGGACGAAGACCTTGGCAAAACCGCGTTGCCAAGTGAGGGATTGCCCTCTGGGTCAGGCACTCTTGAAGGAAAGAAGGTTGTTAAAGAAGAGGAAGCATCTCTGAACGCCAAAACGATTGGACATGCATGTGGAGATCATTTATTGGTTAAAGTTAAGTCTCCACGTGACAAAACAACCCCGCCGTTTGAAGTTGATCCCAAGCATATAAGTACACTTGAGAATGGCAATGACTATATGGTTAAACCCAAACCAATAGTTAATCCGTCAGTGCAATCTGACGATCTCAATAGGCCGTTGAAGAAACGAAAATTGGATGTTTCAAATATATCGTCGAGCGATAAGCGCAAGAATGATGGAGGCAAGTCAACCGATGTATTTGCTGTCGGGCATCAAACCTCAATACAAAGTGGAAGTGCATCTAAGAATGAAATGAAAAATAAATATCTCAATGAATCTCCAAGAGGAGAGAGAGGCCTCATTTTGAAGCCAGAGCAGAATTCGATGGACCTCTTTACTGGGAATTTGCATGAAGTGTCCTCTCATCAATCTCCTCAAAAGGATGACAAAAACAACCACAAAGCATTGCAAGCTCCTCTGCCGGTTGATGTTGTAAGTTCGCAGTTGGATATTTGTCAATTGAGTATATATTGTTTGTTTATGCTTCAACATATATACTTTTGCGGCCTATTTTGTCAAAGAGTGCTTTGATTGCATTTAAGGAACTTGCATTCCTTCTAAGAGTTCCTCCAGATTCAAGTAAGACTGTCAATCAATCGGAACTCATTGGAAAGATTATGGAGCGGGTGAAGCTTCTTTAGAATATTATAGGTGTATTTGTTTCACTGAAAACTTCGTGATAAAGGAACATAATTTCCATGGAAATCATTTCCAAGGAAAACGGTTTGTTTTTATTTGATTGGTGGTTGGAAAGTGATTTTCTTGTTGCTAGATTGGGAAGTCGTTTCTCCCTAATCGAAGCTTCTTGTTTTCAGTCCGTGGAAGATGTTTTTTGTAGATTGATTAGTTTTCGTCATCCAAGCACCGGAAAGTCGGAAAACAATTTCCGGAAACAGGTTTTCCTTCAAGCAAACGGACTCTAAATTGCAGATCGAATTTGACTCAAACGTAAGAAATCCATGTTGGGTCAATTATAAATGGTTGAGCTGGATGCAAAGGAGTTTTGTCTTCCAATGGCTTGGAGCTTGTGAATTAAAGGTCCTTCTAATTTGTCAGGAATTGTCAGGAATACACCACCCGTGGGTGTAAGTTGAACCCAACAAGTAATTAGATGATGTGGACCGTGACCACGTTAAGCATTATGTGAAGGACAAACATTTGGACAATATATAGTGACATGAGAGGGTGTTGTTGATATTCGGACCCTCGGTCTGACGTTATAATACCATGAGAAACAATCATTTTTCCCAAGAGCTTACGTTGTCAACCAACGTAACCGAGGAATGTATGTCAAGCTTCTATCCTAATAGGGCTATTAGTAAGGCCTTTTGATTGAAGTGGTGTTTGTTTTTGGTTGTGCTAATCTAATCTAATCCTTTGGCATTGATGTACATGTTCTCTTTTCCTTCTAGCCTTACTACTAACTTCAAGTTTCACTTTATAAATGCTCTTAAATGTATCAAACTTGTTGACAGGGGGCATAATTTTTTTCCAAATCTCTTTTTAGGTCATTTGGGTTTGTTTCTTAAATTCTTGTTTAGGCATTTTGGGTTATGATAGAGATTGAGAGTAATGGCGTAAAAGAATTTATATAGCTAACCCTGCTTGGAGGGACAAGGCTCGGTTTGTTGTTGGTGTTGTCAGTGGTAGTGGTGGCATGTCGGGCTCGTCGACACTTTCATGTATGTTGTATCATGATATCTTTATTTTTTTGACCAATAGTAAGTTTTCTAAGATGTTTATTTTCAGTTATTGTACAACTTTACTAACCTTATGATCTACGATTCATATCTAATTAAAAAACATAGGAAGTCAGACTCAGGCCACGCCCTTGCGGAATCACTAAGCTTATTGTTTGGATGGGGCTGTGGGTTTGCTTGCCACTGGACTATGGCACATTGTCCATGCATGTCCATTACTTGTATACCTTTTTGTTATTATGGAGGAGACTTTTTGGTCATGTTGGACAGAGGTGATTAGATTGATAATCGGAAGGCATGAGGAAAGCCTTGTGCTTGATCTAATTACTCAAATTATCTTAAGTTTTGGTTGGGATGGGTCAATTAGCGAAAAAACCTTAGCCTATGCATATGATGTGTTGTACTTTGAAGCCACTTAGCTTGTGATCAGATTTGGTTGAATTTTGCTAAGAAGAGTTTAGTGATCCAACCGGGCCCGAAAGCAGACCTCGTTTCACAAGGATAGATGACAATGTAGATTCAACTTTCCATCTGCTTGTGGGATCTAGGGTTGAATTGCGGGTTTTACCATGGCTACTTTTTTTGACGATCCTTACCTTATTTATCAATGTATGACAACTACTTTTCAAGCACTGGAAAAAGTAATATGGCGCAGCTAACGACCTATCTACATTATTCAAGAACCCGAGGTTGCCCCTTTCATTGTTGGAGGGATAGTACCTTTGTTGCCTTTTTTCCAGCATGCCATATTGGATATATGGAGAGAGTTGTAGTCAATAGGATTTTCCTATTTATGCCATCTTGAAAGGAAGAATCTGGAATTTTTTTTTCTTATATACGAGACTGGGATATTGGATTGATTCATGAGAGAATGCTATCCTGATATAAGTCAGTCTTTGGTCTTCTATGTTCGACCCCCCGTGGTCACTGCAAGCACTTTCTGTACTTTGGACCGCCAGGAGGTGTAAATAGGAGAAGTTTTGGAAAAAAAGGTTGCTAAGGGTGCGCATGAATACCATTCTATGTCCGGGAACTATTTCTGAACAGAAATGATTTTTTTGATTCTGTGCCCGGAAACAATTTCTGAGTATTTGAAGGCGTTTGATAAACTGTCCAAAATTTCTATTCCTAGAGTAGAAAAGAACAGAAATGCGTTTGGTAACTACACAAAATTTCTGTTCCCAAATAATATTTTAATAATATTTTGAATTGTTTACTTTTTTTTTTCTTTCTACCCATTTTCTTCTTTGGCCATGGCCGGTCGCCGGCGACCGGCCACAACCGAGGGCCGGCGAGGGCGTCACGGCCCTTGCCGGCCACCGGCGGAGGCGAGGGTCGCCCTCGCCGGCGAGGGTGAGGCCGAGCGACGGCGAGGTTGGCCTCGCCCAGATCTGGCGAGGCTTGGCCTCGCCGTCGCGACCCATGGTGAAGCCGACCTCGCCTTGGGTCGCGACGGCGAGGCTTGGCCTCGCCCGATCTAGGCGAGGCGGCCTCGCCCAGGCGGCGAGGGTCCAGCCCTCGCCCTCGCCGGCCCTGGGCTGTGGCCGGCCGCCGACCCAGCCCAGGGAAGAACAACACAAAAAGAAGAAAAGAGAAAAAAGAAAAAAAACTGATTCTCAAAATTGTGACAAGAAACAAGAAGTAACTTTTTTTTACTTCTTGTTTCTCTTCCAAAACTGTTTCTCGGCACAAATATTTGCAAAAATGTGCCCAGGAACAAAAAATTTACCGAACGCATTTCTGTTCCCAAACTATTCCTGGGAACAAAAGAACAGAAATTTTCACTATTTGGCACGTTACCAAACGGGCCCTAAGAGTGTCTATAGTGTTATTCAAGATGAAAGTCCAATAAAGAGGAAGTTTAGTAATCCTCTAACCCCACCCAAACAAAGGGGGATTGTTTTTATTCAATTTGAACCAAATCTAACTGAAGTGAAGTTCTAACATCTTAGCTTGGTTTTTGGATTTTAATGATGGAATAAGTCGTTTAAATGGAGATTGAATAAAACTGAACGGAATTGGTTTGACTTGAATGATATTTGTTTTGGTTTAGCCTGATCTTGGTTTGTAATTTATGGTAACAATTGATGGATATATAATTTGCTACGAAAATCTCTCAAATCCCTCATGGAACACCCTTATAGGAAGATTGCTACATGATTGCAAAGTTTGCTGCATGTATTTAGGAGTCTAGGGTTTATTATTTTAGAGTGATAATCTTTGTATGTATGTATGTAAAAGTGCACCAGGGGCTGCATCCCATTTGTGATCTAGAAGCTAGAAAACTTGTCTAACAAATTATAAAAAGAAAGACACTGTCTAGAGGGCGGCCTCCACAATGCCAAAATAAAGGTGGAAGGCCAAACCTTTACAGCAGTTATAGAATTTCCCTCATTTTCAGTAGCCTGCCTATTCGAAATTCAAGGTTGTATTAGGTTTTTATGTTTGCTAAGAAAGATGCTATACAAGCATCAGACTTTGAGCTTCACCTCATTGAATAGAGAGTAGATGGGGCTGTTTGCAGTATCTTAGGTTACATGATTATTTAAAGATTGATGGATTGGGTTTGGTGGTTCTCCCCTTACCATGGTGGTTGGTTTAATTTTTTTTCTTTTTACTTCCCTTTTTGCTGATGAGAAAAGGTTGAAAGAGTTGTAAATTGAAATCACCAACCAAAGGGTAAATGGGGTGAATAAGGTGAGAAGAATGGTCATCATAGAATGCATGTATTCAACTGAAAAGAGAAGAAACAAAATTAGCATGGTTAAAACGGACCGGATTGGTAGGTTGGAATTTGCTATGGGTTTCTGATGATGTGTAATCCTTGCTTTTACAATGATCTCTTACGGTTTTAGTTGTCATTAATTACTTCTTTCGTAGAGTATTCAATGGTGTTTCTTTACTGTACCTAAATTACCTATAGTTTCAAACTCTTATAATTGTCACAATATGATTAATTGCCAGTCATTTTTTTTAAGTTCCCTGGATCTAGCTTTTTATGTTTACTTTTGGCTCTTTGGACAGGACAAGAACACATGGTTCAAGGAGCCTGTAAGTACTTTTGTTTCTGTTGTCTATTGGTCTTTATTTCTCTGTATTATATCATTATTCGCTAAGTAAGAGAATTTCAAAATGAGGCACCAAAAGGTGCCAACTCAAAATAGAGTTGGAAGCTACAAAGAGAGCTTATCAAGACCAAGCATTTACATCTAAGATTATAACCCCTATATGCCAAAAGTGTGGAAGTTACAATTTTCAGTAAGTGTTTGGACCAAGGACACTTTCCCCTTGTTCTGTTCTTTTTAACCAGCCAAATAACAGAAAGATGATAATTGACTTTGATATATTATGTTGTTGATTGTGGTGCTAAAAGAGAAACAAATATAGAATTGACTATGATTTAGCATGGGAGTATCTTGTTGCCAAGAGACTAAAGCTTCCAATTGGCCCAAACTCTCTTTCTTTTCTTTTTGAATGGGCTGGGGATGTACCTTACATGTCAGATTGATGGTGTCATACACTGTTTTCAGCCTTTTGAAGAAAGAATGCAGACTGCATGCAAGGAAGGAACACTTGTTCTGCTTCGAAATTTGGATCCAACTTATGTCTCGACTGAAGTTGAGGTAATCCCCATTAATGCAAACTTGGAAAAACTTTTAGATGAGTTTCGTTCAAGCAGCTAGTCACAGCTCATTTCATCAGAGAAGCTTGTCTGGCTGGCCAAACAATTAGCATCCTACATATTATAAAGATCTTTTGCTAGTAGCACGAAATAACTATGAAGATCCTTTGCTTGAGCTTGACAAAGTAAACTGGTACAAATTTGTCCAGTTCCGAATGCTGTTACTAATAGGAAACTAAGGCACTTCTAAATTGGTTATTATAGAATTTCCATCTCTTTGTCAAGAGGGAGCTCTAAATTAAACCACTTTGTCAGTCTGTTACCTTACGTAGGAAAATACTGGTATGAGGTTTCTTAATAACTCAGGTGTTCCCGAATATGCATCGGTAATTCGGCATTTGGTATGATTGGGATCTTTTAAGTTTGATTTGGGCCTTATTTGATATTACTCCTCTTGCTAAAGCCACCATGCTAGCCGATGTTTCTCAAGTCACTATGTACTTTTAAGGTTCTTTCCCATGATATATTCTTGCTTCCAAAGCATGTGGTCTAGCTAGTGGAACAATTTTTCGGGGAGTACTATCCATTGGGGAGTTCCCGTTCTTCTAAATGTCGTATCAAAGCCCTGTGGCCTAGTGATTTTTTCTTTGTCTGGATTATTCCCACTGCAGTTCATCACTACAATAGTGTTATAACTTACAGGATATAATTTGGCAAGGCTTGGAGGAGAAATGCTCAGCAAAGATGCTTTCGCAGACTACAACTTCTAGCCCTCACTATGGTAAGAAATGCACAGAAATACCTGATTTTGTTGTATTATTTTTCACTTGCAATATCACACTTGGGTTAAATGATTCGACACTCTGAGATGTAGTTGTGATGTGACCCTGATGACTGGAATTTCCAGTCACCCTTATATAGGGCGTTTCTGGATCGACTTTTTCTTTTTCTTTTTGCTTAATCAGGATCTTGCAGCTCAAGTTCTTCTACTTTATTTTAATCTGGAACACCTGAAACCTTCTTCATATATAAAAGTTGACACAGAAGATTCACATATTACTTTTTAATAATTTTCTAAATGTAGTTAATATTTAAATTTTAGCGGGAAAGCAAAAAAGTATGTTTTGCTTTTGATTAATTGTAAGCAAACATGCCTTTAATAATACTGAGTTACTATGCTTGGATGATAAAGGATTCTCATACATGAGGACGGTATCATGGTTGTTGGTGAAAAAAACTACGTTGGGAAAATGCTGGATTATACAGCTGCAAGTTGTTCTATGGTTTTACCTATTTGCCTTTCTATGGCCAATTTATATTTTATATTAGTCATCATGCATCTAGTTGAGCGGGGTTATTGGCAAGCAGAATGTTTGACGGGCTGTGGAGTGTTGTGGTTTGGATCTTAACTTTTGTTTTGTCGGACCACTCTGATAGAAAAATTTATTCCAAATTGAATTTAAGATCAGCAGATTAATGATACATATCGCATTCTCTCTCTCTCTCTCTCTCTCCCCTTCGCGCAACGCTCACGCTGTTGTCCCTGGTTGGCCTCTCTTCATCCTCCTCTTAGTTGTGTTAGCTTCTTTTTGTTTTTTGTTTTCTCTTGCCTTCAATTTTCGGGCAGCATTCTCATTTAAGTTATCCACTGTCTATGTTACTGTTGCTTTTGCTGTACCCTGCCCTTCTAATCATAAAATATTTGTGTACATTTTCTGGTTTATTGTCATCAAGCTACCTTTAGCAGAGAGCTAGTTTCCTGAGTTCAGAGTGAAGGGAGGTTATGTATATGGGCTGCATTTATCGAGCAAATAGACGGGTACGTCACTGTGGAGGGCCAATTTCTGATTTTGTTTTTAAAGGACTGAAGAGGTTCAATCAAAGATAATTGTGCACAGGTGTACTTGATTAAGTGGTGGAGTTGCAAGGTGGAGTGCTTGGTTTGTTGAGGCGTGAAAATAAAAATTGCTGTTGTTCTTGAAAGATACAGGCATGGACAGATATTAATTTTGATGGATGCAAGTTGTTGGAGTTCTAGACAGATAATCATGTTAGAGGGATTTTGTTGCAGGATGTGGGTAGTTACTTCATGAGAAGATTTGGTCATTTCAAAGGCCAATAACAAGTTCAATAAAACAAGGATTGTGTGGGTTGGGCTGATAACACAGGGATGCGGAAGTTTGGACTGCTTATATTGTCATTTTCTGGCAGGTGCATATTCAGGGATTTTGTTTAAAGCTCTCCTTAGTTTCATTTGGATTTTGCTAGAGATCTGTGCGGTAATCATGGAGGTGAACATGTTCTAGATTTAGCTAAGTGTTTTCAGCAATGTGTGGAGACACAAGTCTTATCTCGAACTTACTCCCGAAAATAGCCAACTCTAGGTAATCGCGGTCGTGCTTTAGATTCTCGTTCATTAGTGATTATGATGGATCTTGCTTTGGGTGAATTATCAAATGAGAAGTCCCAGTCATCTGTCTCTTGAGAGTGGGGATTGAGCTTCAAGTTACTTGTTGGATCCAAGTCAAGGATTGTTGGGGGATGATGGATGTATTTAATATTCCTCTGTTAAGAAGGAGGATGGGGAAGACCTCTTCGCTTTGTGATGGTGTTCTCCCTGTTTCTCAAGGTTATGAATCTTTGGATGGTGTGGGCAGAATCGATCCACAGAAGATTCCCGAGAGAAATTGCTATTGCATATCATCTTCTCTCCTGCTTATGTGTTGTGATTTCCTGGTGAATAGGCACGAATCTTGAAGAATCTTTTTTTGGATTTTCCACCTTCAAAGTTAGTTCTTTGATGTTGCCAATCTCCTTTTCTGGATGTTATTTAACTTGTTTGAAAGTATGACCACAAAAGGGTCAACTGCTTTATTGGATTATTTTCTTCATTTATTGACAAAGTAGTGTTCCAACCGTGATGAATGAAACTTGAATGGATCTCAAGGCAACAGGTCTCCTTGTATCGACACTTGCAAATGACACTGAGGATTGTAAATTATGCTGTAGAAAACAGCACGAGTTATTTTAACGTATAGCAATGGTGCAGAACATTCCGGCAGTCACTTAATGCTCTCTCGTAGCTTTCAGTAACTGTAAAATGGAAATGTATAATCTGTTTTCTACAATTTTGTCCTTTGAGCATCTAACTTTTGATTTGATGTTGGATTAGTTGTGGTATTCCCAAAGTGGGAGCATCGCTTACAGGTCTCCCACAAGCAGGCAGTATATATAGATATTTCTTATACTGCTTTTTAGATGCTAGCTTTTACGACATTTTATTTTTGACAAGATCATTTGATTTTGAACTAATAATATCAGTTTCATGAGGGAAGATCGCTTTTGGTCAGGTCTAGATTCATAGCACTGTCGGTACAAATAGTTACGCGACCATATTTACTCAAAAACAAGTGTTTAGTTTGGCTCAATCAGTTCATGCTATATCAATTTTGAACCGAACGCTTTGGTTTGATGACCCTCGTTTAGAGTTTGGTTTGGTATGTATAGCGATTTTCTTTCGGTTTTTTTTTAATTCGTACTTTTAATAGAGACGAAATAAGGCGAGAACATCCCTTCCATATAAACTTTTTATTGGTATAGTTGTACTTTACAACTATCCATTAGCTCATTGCAGTTTTTTAATTTTGGATGGTAAATTTTGTAAATTTCTTCTGTTAACGATGCTTCATGCGCATGCTTGCTTACTTTTGACAATGTGAATTGTGAGATAGGTCAAGCTTTTGTGATATTCAAAACAAAGGAAGCAGCAAAGAGAGCCATCAAAGAATTAGATACTGGATGCTTGGTGCTACCTGATGGAAGGTATGTGTGAAGATGGTCATTTTATTTAGGTTCTGTCTCCTTTTTTTTTTCTTTTATCTTTTTCCCGTTTTACAAGTCTGAATTTTAATAGGCGCCACATTGTGTGAAAGGACAAAATGTTAATTTATTAATGTTACTCACACCAAACTTTTATTAATACATCCATAGTAAATAACATGGCTGCCGATGCAGCATGTGCCATGTCTTTTAGTATGTGTAGAGTCAGCAAGGAGGATAAAGAGTAGAATAAGGAAACGAAGTGCTAATTGGGCAAGAAGAATTGAAGGAAAATGATGTTTCCTTTTCTACTATTCCTACTTCCTGAGATTCTAGATTGGAAAATCCTTGCTTCTTTGAGATAAAATTCACTTTGGAGACTCTTTTGAGAAAACGGCTGCAGTTCAGGGGACTTTTTGAAATTTTCCCTTAATATGAGAAGCGAAATGGACTTGATGCTTTTTAATTCAACTTGTTGAAATTCTCCATATATAGAGAACACATCTTAAAGCAGGGTTAAGTTTCATTAACCAAAAAATTTGTGATTTACTTCCCATGCAAAAAGTTAGGTTAGCTAGCACTAATTGAAAGTTTATGGAAATCATGGTACCGTTCTAACCAATGACCTGTTCTTTATTTTTGTTTAAAGTCCAGTTCTTATTGTCTACAACTTGTTGAAAAAGTGTCATTGCGCTTCAATTGTCTTGCAACTTAGGAAGGGCAAATGCTAGAATAGGAAACATGATTTTCCTTTAATTGATTTTTCCTTATTGGTCTATTGTTTCCTTTGTCTACTCTTTGTCGTTACTTACAGCAGCTTAAAATAGATGCATGCTAACCTTTTGCTGAAAATATTGGAAAAAGGAGTTTGTGCACTAACATTTGCCATAAAGCTGTCGAGCCATGACAGATGAGATGCAATAGAACATAAATACAGTTACTTTGATATAATTGGCTACTTTAGGTTTCCCCTCTGGTCTATTCTCGTTAATTGTTTCTGTGAACATGGTAGCTTAATATTCCGTACATGTTCTGACTCTACACATACTATGTTACATGGTTGCACATAGGATTCCTGTCACATAAGATTTATCCTTGAATAAATGTTTGGTCCTTGTAGTGGTACTCTATGTTAATACTAGCTCTAAACATATCGGTGGATCGAGTGGTTGGGGCAATATGGAAATATTAGATTCTGGCATAACTTAAGTTGATAGAAATTACCTGGGGACTTGAAAGTGCAGATTACTTGGTTGACCAATTTAGGTCTTGATCAGGTGGTCTTCTTTGTTTCCCCATGCAATTTGGAAGACCGGTTGACAAATGTACCTTCTTTACAAGTTTATCTCGAAGTTCTTTTTTTTAGCTATTTTACTCATTAACAAGGGGCAAAAGGGTGACAGGAGCTGCTTCTGACCTTGTGCTGCGACAATATGCTTTTGTGTATTTTCGATGTTTATAATTCTCTCTCTCTCTCTCTCTCTCTCTCTCTCTCTCTCTCTCTCTCTCTCTCTCTCTCTCTCTCTCTCTCTCTCTCTCTCTCTGTGCTTTAAAAAATTTCCCAGACCTCTTGTCGGCTGTGTCGAGACTCCTTGCTCTCCTGGAAAGCAGTCAACATTTTACGGCCATCTATCAATTAGTAATCCAAAGCAGTCACAGACTCGGGGGATGGTATGTTCTCTTTTGTCCACTTTCTCCCTTTCCTTCATTATCACGTTCCTGACTGGGTACAGTTGGACCTTTCTTTATATTTGTGGCTCTTTTGCCATTCTTGCAAGCAGAAAGAAGCTGTATCTACTTCGCATTGTTCACAGCCCAACACCATAGTATATGATATGGCAATGGAGTGGTGTTTGCTGCAACAAAGATCAGATTTTTTGTTGGACAAGTTATATAAGGTTTGTATTTTCCAATTTTCTGGATAAGATGATTTCTCACCCTAGTATTTCTGACGGTAACTGTTTTTTGGTGTATCCTACTGATCATGTGGAAACTGCTGCTGCTGAATTTTTGTTTCCCTTTGTTTTAGCAACAAGGGGTGGAATTGAGAAAAATCAAGGCCCATTTGAAGTCCAAGTGAAGTATAGCACCGATCGGCACCTGAATAGGCAATTAGGGTTCAAACAAAGCAAAGGTTTACATTCAGACTCTTGTGAACATTTTCGCCTCAAATGTTGCTTTACAGGTGACAATTTACTTTCAGTGGCATTGTCTTTTTGCCCTTAAATTTAAAGGGACCGTTTCTACTGGGCAATGCGCCTTTTGTTCTTGGTTCTAGACGTATATGTTGGTGTCCCACTGTCTGTTTGCACTTATTGTCTTATTCCCTGATAACTTATCCAAACCGATGTATATAAGATACAATTTGCTCAAGCAAGACAGCAGCTTATTTTTCCCCTCTATTTCAATTCTGCTCGCTAGAGCTTTTACTTTGAGGCCCCTCTCTAGCTCAAAATTGACCTCGAAGTGCCACGCTTCCCTTTCAAAATTCTATTCGAACTTTCTTTGCTTTGAAAACTACGAGTTTTCAGAATTTTACTGTTAAGTATGACATTAACCCGATGTTCAATATTATCACCAGCATGATTTGCATGATTCGAGTGCCCTTTATCCTCAAACTGTTGTTTGATGGGTCAGTTGCTCTTTTGTAATTGTCCAGAGTAGAAGCAGAGGAGATTTTTTGGGATCAGCATTTCTGCATCTTCAAGATTTAGGTGGATTTTGGTAAGAGGCAAATGTACAAACGTGTTTGGCCATCTGATTGCAGGGATACTGGGGAATTTGGCCAGAAACCAATTAATCTGGCAACACAAACCCGGTTCCGGGCTTTTGAATACCAAACCTTTCGCTTCTTTCTCCTATGTTTTCGATTACGTAGATGTGTATATGTTTATAGTCTACTCTTCCCGCCTCTTCTTTTAGTGCCGGTTGTTTAACTGTTCTTCTCCACCCGAGTCATTTTCATGAGAGTGATTCTTGGAATCCCTCAGAACCATTCCTTGAAGGATTGGCGGCAGTTGAGGCTACAACAGAAATAGATATCACCGGAGTTCCGGAGTTACTACATTTTACGTAGCATCATGAGAAAATATGCTTGGTTGACGTGCTTATGTCGTGGATTGACTAAAGCTCCTTTACATGTTGCTGTCCGAATTGGCTGTAGTTGTCCGAGTGCTGTGGTTTCTAGTACGTTGCTTTTCAGGAAAATTGTCCAAAAAATTCTAAAATTTAGGTGACCGATTGATTATGAAATTTTTAATAATGCCAGCTTAGTCCTAAAACTTTTGATGGTTTGTCAATAAAGCTCTTCGATTAAATTTGTTCGGAAATTGCTGAGATAGATGTGATCATCTTAAGTGATATCGCTGATGTTCGCAATTTTTGTAAATTTATTTAGTTTTTGTTTTCTATTTTTTTATTTTATTTTTTGAAACCTTAAGGGCCGGCAGTAAAAGAAGAAAAAGAAAAGAAAATAGAGAAGAAAAGGAAAAAATGAAAAAAATTGAAAATTTTGCCAAAATTATCCACATTAGCAGCAAAAGCTAGTTTGGCTTTACACGTAGAAAGGCAGGTGTCCACAGCAGCGATTTTCAGTCAAATTGATCGAAAGGATTTATTTTGGTAAATTGATAAAATTTTTAAGATTAAATTGGTATAATTAAAAGATTGAATATTGAATTGATTGCCATGTAATAGATATAATTATTTTTGTACAATTATCCCACTGCTTTTCGGGTGTTGTCAAAAGAGTGAACCTATTGATATATTCAAGATGCGTTTTGATAGCATCTCCCGCGCAATCGAAAAGTCATTGAAAGATTATACGTCCAAGCTTAGAATATCCCATTTTTACTATGAAGTGGTTTCATGACCCTAGTTGCAAATTACTATGATGGGTGAGTTCATCCAAAATATAAACTCGAGTCAGAAAACTTCTAAAATTTAGATGGATTAAATCAAATCTTAGAAAGAAGAAATACAACATTCAAAGTCGAACTTGAAGGGGTTCGACCAAATGGACGAAAAAATAATCATAACGGCTATACACAAAGCTCAAAGAAGAAAATTTATATCAATGTACAATGTGGTCTTTAAAGATACCTAAACTTTTAAATTATTCGATGTGGTTCCTAAACTTTTGATGCATGTTCAATTTAGTCCATGAGCTATATGAAATATTTAATATTGTCCCTAAACTTAAATGAATGGAAAGACAACATTCAACATTTCATATAGTCTGGGAATTAAATTGAATATGTACCAAAAGTTCAATGAAAACATTGAACAAATTAAAAGTTTAGATACCACGTTACACATTAGAATAAAGTACATAGACAAATTAAAATTTTAGGGATCACATTATATATTAGTTCACAGTTCAGGGAACATTTATGTCACTATCCCTTTTTTTTTCGAAAAAACTATCACTTGTATTGCTTACGAAAATAAATTCACGCAAGATATTTTCATTGTCTACGAAAATGCTTAGACATAAATTATTATCGATAATGAAAAATATTTTTCATCGACTAATTATTTCAAGCTATTATTTTTCGAAAAATATTTTTTAAAGTCATTCATTATTCGCGAACCAAACAAGTCCGATTTTAAGATAAAATTATGCCCGATATTATTATTGCCGCACGGAAAATTTCATTATATAATCCTTTTCAGGTGGTCACCACCACACCGCCATGCTCTCACTCCCTCGTCATCGTCAGCACGTTCGTCCTCATAAGCGGACCAGCCAAAACCCTAATTTCGTCGTCCCCTGTTTCGCCAAGCGCGTTTCCCCTGTTGTTGATTTGTGTTGCAGATACGCGAAGCACCGACCGGTGATCCTCGCGCACGCATCTCGAGGCGCGCGAGCGACGATCGGAGGAAGAAATCGCGATCGATCGATCGTTCGTCTGTGATCCATGGAGAAGGAGCGGGTGAGGAAACGACCTCGGCTCACCTGGGACGTCCCGCCGGCGGTATCGGAGGTTCGTTGAGGTTAAGCGGGTCGTGTGGGTGTGGGGTGGTTGCGGGGGGGAGCTAGGGTTTCTGGCTTAAAGGACGGATTTTTGAGGTTTCTGATGGGGGGAATGGAATCGTCTTTTTTGTAGGCGCGAGACCAATCTGGTTTGGCGGGTGATCAGGTGGCGGAACGGCACCCGTCGCCTCCGAAGAGGGACGACGACCGTGAAGGGCATTACGTGTTCAATCTCGGCGAGAACCTCACTCCAAGATGTATGTTTTTTCCCGGAATTCTGATGTCCGTTTGTCCGCGCCGCGTTTTTGCCGTGACCGTGATTTGTTCCTTTGGTTTATGTCTGTTGGGTTTGGCTTCTTATCTTTTTGGAGCTTTGGTTGGAGGAGTTTTGCTCATTCGACAATGCATGGGTTTTTTCGTGTGTTTGTGCTTGTTTTGCTTGCGAGAAAGTTGTTGTCTGCGTCTTTCATTCTGTCGTCTCGTCTTTTCGTTGTGTTGAGGTAGATGAGGCAGGCAAAACCACTTGTCTGTCATTTTGGCCCTTTTGGGTATTGTAAACTGAGGTCTCAGGGTCTGTTCTGTTGTCATCCGAGGTCCTCAGTTTGTTGATTCTGTGATTTGTGTCGTAATATCTGCTTTTGAATTCAATTTGGCTAAGTTCTGGCTTTTGTGTTTTTGGATTGCTTTTCTTTACATGGAATAATCGGGCACCCTTGAAAGGATGTTTGATATATTTGTCGGAGGCCTTCTTAGGTTTGATCTGTATGTTGTGTCATCACTACATATCTATCTGCGATTCAAGCAACTTTTTTCAAATTATGTCTCGAGTTTTATTTTATTTTATGGACCTCTGGCTGGCATACTTGTACTGAATCTGGAGTTAACTCTTTTATTCGGTGGCATTGTCTCTTAGTGGGTTTATCCTAACTTCACATGCAATTTTAATGTGCAACAGATAAAATACTCAGCAAGATGGGTGAAGGTTAGCCTGTCAAGAGCTCCTGCTGTCCTCAAGATATTTGTTATTGAGATTCTGCTTGCATCGTTCAACATTGTGCTAGTGCTGTAGGCACATTTGGGCGTGTCTTGGAATGTTGGGATCGCCAAACACAAGAATATGTGGCTGTTAAGGTTGTCCGAAGTATAAGGAAGTATCGCGATGCAGCAATGATTGAAGTGGAGATACTTCAACTCATTGCCAAGAATGATAGGGGCAGCTCTCGGTATTATTTATGTGGTTTTGGCTTCTTGAATTGCCGGATCAGATAACATGGTCTAATTATGCATCTTAATTGCTCTGGGCAGCTGTGTTCAAATTCGGAATTGGTTTGATTACCGCAATCACATATGCATAGTGAGTAATCCAACAAACTTCTGCTGTTGTTATGGCTAATTTTGTTCTGTCCCCATGAAATATCTCTTGAAACACTCTTTTTAACGTCGAAGCTGTGTTCTAACTCTTTAAGTTTAACCACAATTATAACTTAGGTTGGTGATTTTTGTGTCCACGTGCTGATATTCAACTTGGCATCTGGTTGAACCTGCCATTCTCTTCTGCTAGTAGTTTGTAAATAACCATATTCATTCAATCGGAAACTAAACAGAAACCCTTTTGTTGGATGCATTTGAATGGTGTTATCAGGTGTTTGAGAAGCTTGGACCAAGCTTATATGATATTCTAAAGAGAAATAGATATCATCCATTTCCTGTGGATCTTGTTCGAGAATTTGGACGTCAGCTTTTGGAATCTGTAGCATGTCTGTGGATTATTCTTGGCTTTTGTTTTAGTTTCTTGTTCCAGTATTGTTCTCATAAACATTCCTCTCAGACCTCACCTGGTTATTTCGCCGGGTTTATGCTTTTTCATTCCTGCTGTATGTGACTTAGTGTCTATGCTTTATTGCTTTGAGCAGATATGCATGATTTGCGCTTAATTCACACTGACCTGAAGCCCGAAAATATACTTCTTGAATCTTCTGAATCTGTTAAGATTCCTAATCTTAAGGTACATGATCTCTTGCAAATTGGAAATTTTGCCATAATTAGGATAATTCTCTTTTATAAAAATTGTTGGATCATACAGAGGACGAACTCAGGTGCGATGCAGTATCGGTGCTTGCCCAAGTCTAGTGCCATTAAGGTGATTGATTTTGGTAGTACTGCGTATGATAATCAAAATCATAGCTCCATCGTTTCTACGAGGCATTACCGAGCACCGGAGGTTATCCTAGGTAACTAGCCACCCAACACATTAAAACCTTGTGAACATTAGCACATATAAATGTGTTTCCCCTGCTGTACTTGATTACCTTTGTAGGTTTATGTGTTCTGTTATAATAAAGATTATCTAATTATTTGATGTTGGTCTAGAAACTTCTAAATCTGTTATCTAAAGATATTTGATGTTGGTATAGAGGCTGTTAAATTCGATCCTGTTGATGTCTTATTGGAAGAATATAATATGTAGTAGCGACTGTTGTAATGAAGGAAATTTACAACACAGTGACTATTGGGTTCCTTGTAAGAGCTCTGGTTGGGAGTGTTCTCGATGTTGATGTTTGGGGAAGTTGCTGGGCTCAGGGATGTAGTGTTGCGGTTCATTGGTGAATGGCAAGTCGTCTTTCTTTTCCCAATCGTAGTAGATATTCAATTTATTGATGTTTACTAATCTGTCGTGTATTGCCTGATTGAATGGATGATGGAGTTATATGATTGGGAGAATGGATTCTATTGAGTGGTCTAGGGAGTTATTAATTTTTCCTTTCTTACCATTTATTGCTTTGGACTTTTTCCAAGTACCTATGTCCTAGCATGTGGAAAGTTGTCTCTTGGATTGTGATGAGGAGCTCTATAGAACTGATATAAAGTGGAAAGAAAGTTAAGATTAGGTCGACTTACATAGTGGAAGAATTGGCTATAAGATGGACATAGTTCTCTCTTCATGAGATTCGCCACTGCAGCTGGAGGTCTACTTGATAAGTATTGGGTCAGTTTAATCAGCACAATGATTGTTGATGTTTCTTCGACTTTGTGGAGTTAATGGTTAGCTTCACATTTTAACTCTGAGTCAACAAGGTCTTTTTTATGCCTGAGCAGTTTGTGCTGAGTTGTTTTTGTGGGTCAGGATTCTGCTTGTATGTTTGTGGTTATCCAAATAAGGTTGACTGGTTCAGCTGCCATTATAGTTTGTCAACAATTTTAACACTCACTTTTATTTCTTTTTTTTTGTTTTTGTGTCTTTTACAGGTTTAGGATGGAGTTATCCTTGTGATTTATGGAGTGTTGGATGCATACTAATTGAACTATGCACGGTTAGTCTTGTTGTTCCAATTGTAGCTCAGATATCAAGTCTAGTGGAGGAAGTCCTTTAAATTGGACCTGTGTTCTCAGGGGGAAGCTTTATTTCAAACCCATGAAAATCTCGAGCATTTGGCAATGATGGAGAGGGTGTTGGGACCTCTACCGGAGCATATGATTAGAGGAGCCAAGTAAGTTCCTTATAACATTTTTTTAAATTGTATATTTGTAGTCTCATTTGATTTAATTGTTCAATGGCAAATGTGTCTTTAGATGTCAATTTTTCCCCTGCTAAGAAATAACTTGTACATCAAAAAATGTTTTTTGATGTTTATCCTATTTTTAAAATTAATATTCTTCTCATTTACATTGGCAGTCGGGGCGCCGAAAAGTATTTTAGACGAGGATCACGTCTAAATTGGCCTGAAGGGGCAGTTTCAAGGGAGAGTATTAGAGCTGTGAAAAAACTCGACTTTTTACAGGTTTTTGCTTTGTTGTCCATTCTTCTTGGAGTTGTAAATATTGATTTATTGATTTCCACTGATGGAAATTTTGCATGGTTTTTGCTAATTTTGTTAATTGTACCGTGGCAGAACCTTGTATCTCAAAATGCGGACTCCTCAAGATCTTCTCTCACCAATTTGTTGCGAGGTTTGTTGAAGTACAATCCATCAGAACGGCTCACTGCTCATGAAGCCCTAAATCACCCCTTTTTCAAGGATATGGCCTGAGGTGTGTCGCCGCCGGTGTTTTACATGAAAGCAGCTCAGACTAAGGAGTTTTCCCTGTGCATATCTGAAAACTGGTTGGTCTGGAAGGGAAAAGGAACCAAGGAGGCGGTTGCACCGGCTATGTAACATTGTGTGTCTGATGTGCGTCTTTCCTATGGCTGAGGCCTAGAAGAAAACTCCCTCTTTTCTAATGGGGGAAAAGGCTGTGCTGTAGAAGCATAGAATTTTGATCAGGAAGTCATATTAAAGGCCGTCAGAAAGATAACCATGACTAGTTCTAATCCACGGAGTCAATTTAACAGAAACCTTCTTGTAATCGTTTATGTGAAGAGTAGTTGCCGCGGAATGAAGTACATTGTGGTCAAGCCTGGTCCTGAATTATACTCAAATAGGTTCAACTTCATTGGGGCGGAGTGACAAGTCGAGATTGAGTGGAAATGCTATCGGTAACAGGTAGGGTTCGTGAGTAACTGGCGATGTCACGGAAGTATAATATGTCATGGACGAATTTAGATTGCATGAGAGATGATACGAGTGTTCTAATAACATGTTTTCTCATAAATTGGGGTTAATTCCAAAAAAAAACACGAACTTTAGGTTGTGGCGTAAACTTTTTTTTGTCTTGTAAAAAAGCACAAAATTCAAGTCGAGTAACAATTTTGGTCTCAACTTTCTTTTGTCTCATGAAAAATCACTAACTTTCACCATGATCTTAAATTTAGCCTCCGTTGACTTTCTGTCTGAAGTCATTCTTGTTTGAGAAAAATTGTTATTGTGGTGAGCCTAGCGAATCTCATCCATGGTGTTTGTCGACGAGTGGTGGTCTACAGCTTCAGATTATGACAAAACGACGAACTCTGGCTAGAGAGATTCAATCTGGAGTTATTTTTAACTTGCCGATGAAGCGAAGGAAACGAACAGTTTCACCGTTATTCTTCAGGTTGTGGCTCAGAGAATAAGACAATGAATGGTGCTTTAAATTCAGTCAGTAAGTCACGTGGATTTATTACTAAAGTGAAATAGTTAAGTTGGATAATAAATGGTTTTAAGTCAATGGGAGTCAAATTTGAGATTTAAGTGAAAGTTAGTGCTTTTTTAAGCAACAAAAAAAGTTGAGGCCAGAACTGTCATTCGACCTAAAGTTGGTGTTTTTTTACGGGACAAAAAAAAGTTCGGGCCAGAATTGTCCTTCGACTTAAAGTTGATGCTTTTTTATGGGATAAAAAAAAGTTCGGGCCAAAATTGTCCATCGACCTAAAGTTGATGCTTTTTTTTTTAATTAACCCCATAAATTGTGGTCGAAGATCTCTTATTATCTTTAGATATATGGAAAAATGACATGGGCTTGAACATGAGCGTTCCGACATGTCCAACGTAAGACCCAAAATAACTAATTGTATACGGCTAAGTCATAGTGTAGTGGCATCTTGTCGTGTCTTCAATTGGACACTCCTCGAATCCACGAAAGTGTCTTTTAATTGTAAAGACATGACTGCGATAAATCAATATTTGCTAATTTCATGTCAAGATCAAGTGGGCTCTCTTGTCCTGTTATGTGATGACTTCCCACAAATTGCCTCATATTTACGCTTTACAAAATTTCACTTAGAATGCAAAGTACGTATTTTCTTACATAAATACTCAAATCAGCTAATTCTATGGTGCGACTTGTGCCATGTCTCGTTGTCTACCAACTTTCGAACTCATGACACGGGGTTCTAAGAATTTCTTGCAAATCCAATAGGATTTACAAATCGACAGTGAGAAACCACCTTTCACCGTGTCAATAAAGTTTATTTGTTAATTTCATGTCGAGATCGAGTGGGCTCTCTTGTCCTGTTATGTGATGACTTCCCACAAATTGCCTCACATATACGCTTTATAAAATTTCACTTAGAATGCAAAGTACGTATTTTGGTACATAAATACTCAAATCGGCTAATTCTGTGGTGCGACTTGTGCCATGTCTCGCTGTCTAGCAACTTTCGAACTCATGACGCGGGGTTCTAAGAATTTCTTGCAAACCCAACAGGATTTACAAATCGACAGTGAGAAATCACCTTTCACCGTGTCAACAAAGTTAAATTGACCGTAGCTCCGAGCAAGATGTCTCTCGAAAAAATCTTATCAGGCTCATTGGATGTTTATCAAAAAGAGGAAAAGGAATGGCCAATTCAATGGTGGCCACACATGTATTTGAACAAGACATGATATTGGGGAAATGGCATTGATGATCTTCTTGACCAGAGGAGAAGGACATTGCATTGGACTCAAATTATTAAAAATAATTTAAAAAGAAAAAAAGCTGTGTCAGAAATATTTGTCAGAAGTGGGATTTGAACCCACGCCCTCTTTCGAGGACCAGAACTTGAGTCTGGCGCCTTAGACCACTCGGCCATCCTGACTTCAATGAATGTGGTGCGGAATTTAATTAATGTAATGCATAACCGATGTAATTTATGATGAAAATCAACTGGAAAAGGTAATTTCCAACAAAGAGACCCAGTGAAGATGAGCCGATATTCATACGACAGCTTTCAAGAATAAAGTGGATTCCTGCTTTCTTTCTCCGGAAAATTTTGGCATTTCAATTTTTTCTGAAGCGCTCGTTTGCCCACGCATAGTTACACAAGAAGAAAAGACGATGGTATTAAGATTCGGATCAGTACGAGCAGTCTATTGTGGGAATTTGGTAAATGGAAAATATAAAAAATGAGAGAAGGGAAGATTTGACTGATCAAAGATATTCAAGCTCAACGAATTGAGGCTCGGTAGCAAGTTTCAGGTCAACTTTATAGTTCTTGATATAATCTACCAAAGAGAGCGACTTAACACCCAGGACTAGGAATCACGAGCTCACTTAGAACCTAGATGTCTTATTGGGGCTCAACACAATTCAAGTATTAACAAGCTCCCACTCAACTGCAGTTGATGCCAAAACAGGAAGTATAAACTACATGAATTATGATGAATTCAAATGGCAAATAGGCTGAACTTGAATAATTCCCTCTACGCTAAGGCAAGCGCGAAGGAGGTAGATTACCTGAAAAGCAAGAAAAACAACTTGCTGCAAAAGCAACCTATTTACACCGCTGCTGCGTGGAAGTGCTGCAGCTATCCAACAACCAAAACATCAATTTATGGTTTAGACCAAGCGGATAGGAGAGGAGTGACGGTACCCGACCATCACTCATTTGAATGTTTGTGGTTGAAGACGGTTGAAATTCAATGTGATATTGCATACATCGATTACCAAGCAACAGCCCAATCTTCTCAAAATTTTAACCCCCAAAGCCGCATGGCAGTGCATCGATTTCAATTATGCAGACCATATTACAATAGGCAAAAACCCACCCCTGACTCAATTAGCAGTAATATCATGAATAATTACTTCCCTTCCGCAGAAATTAAGAAAAGATGTCCTAAATCATTGTCCTGTCCTGGTAAGAGGGTGGTCCGGGTGGAGGCAACTTTCTCAATAGGAGTAGAAAGCATCCACAGAAAATTCTGCAAAAACTGACCCCGCCCTGCCTAGAGATAATGTGTGCAAAACGGTGCATCCTGTCATCCATGTACAAAGAGACAATTTCCTTGCTAGATCACAAAATTCAAGGAAACTAACGAGTCTATGCACATAACCTGACTCGCCTAATAGTTACATTTCGGAAGCTTCAGAGCTGTCACTGACCACAGCAGAATCCAAAATGATCTTGCTGTCTTCTAATGGGTTTTCATCGTCTGAATCTGGTATAATAGCCGAGTCTAGAGCAGAGTTTTGATTGGGTCTTTGTCTAAGCAACTTCGTCATGTGCAGTTTCCTTGTTTCCTCAACCGCATGAGCAGCAGCTCCAGCTAACCTTTTGCTCCAGCGTGGTCCAGCCACTCTATGAGCAACATGAATTTTCCTCTTTGGATGATTAATATTGGAAGGAGAATCTGTGCTCACAAGGCAGTCCTCATCCAAGTTGTTTGACCTACTGCCATCATCATCACTGCATTTTCCATCATATTCCTCATCCGTGTTGTCATTTCCAGCTTCTTCAAGCTTGTTAATCTGAGTCACAGAAACGTCATAGATATTGTTTCTATCAATCCCTTCACTTGAATGTGTATCCTCATTGTGACCATCATCCTCTTTACTAAGCTCACGGTGCTTGTACCGTCTCCTTGGATCTTCAGTAGTCAACCTCCTGAACGACAGATTATATAAATAGCTGGTGAGAGAATCTGTACTTTTTTGTATTTGGCATCGGCTCTATGAGACTGAGAATGCACATCAGCTCTGTAAGAATGAAATGTATAACCCACGCAAATGAGAAAAAACTATGCTTTGTCAGAAAATAAGTGTAGACCGCACCTACAGTCCCACTTTTCAAAAAGTAGCTCACTTCCAACTCCTACAGCAGTTTTAGCAACCAACGATATGGCAGAATTGCGATTTTTTTAGCGCAACAACATAATCGAGCATTTCTTGTCTTATCATTTCTCGACTTGCATAGCCTCTATCATTGTTCTCACTGCTTTTCTCGGCAAAAAGCTTAAAGTTTCTGAGACATTCAATGCAGACTGTGCAAAAAGCAGATAATATGTCATGCCCAGAATGGCCTTTTGCATTTATACTTCAAGAATCTAACATACTGGCTCCGCAAGCCCCTACAGTCTACACTTGTGAAGAGTGCTAGTTAGCGGTGGCCAAATGAAACACAACATGATCGTAAGGGAAAGACAATGATGGTACCAAGGATCTACAGAAACTATTTCCAGCTGCTAAACCAGTGAAAAACCCAAATCTAGATATTCCCTGGCAACACCTGACTTTAGAAGAAGAAAGTTGTAATCAATAGAGTATCAAAAGCAATTCAGAGAACAAGATCTTACTGTGTGACTTGTATAGCCTCATCAATGGCTCGATCATACTCCTCTGCACATGGAGAAAGTCTGTTTAACTTCATAAGCTAAATGACAACAAAATTTCTGCCCAGATATTGGCAAGCTAAACATGATGTTGTAATTGAAAACCCATCATACCAAATGTGTAACTTATCGGCCGACGACTTCGGCAGGATCGAGAACCAGCAACTGCATACGAACTCTTGCAATTATTTAGGAGCATCTTTTGTCTTTCTTTGCGCTTAAGAGCTCTTTCTTTGTTCTGTTTCAAAGCTAACTGATTCAGGTCCATATGATGAGAAAAAGCAAAATGTAGACAAGGGAGATAAAGTAAACATGAAACTTGGAAATCGAGTTCTTTCCAACGAAAATAGTGATAGTAACAAAAACAGAGCTGCATTTACATGAAGACCTTAGTAACACCTGCCTTTTCTATTTTCTGTAGGGCGGGTATTATATCAGATTGTATGATTCTACTAACAGCAACTTCAGCTACACCTTTGCTTGATGCAAGTTCTTCCTGTCATTGTTAGCAAGAAATGGGTGATTCGTAAAAGCTTAAAACTCCCCAAAAACTAGACTATAGAAACTACAATCATTTCCTTACCACAACTTCAGAAAACTCGTTGAGGTTAGTGGCAAGTGTTTCCCACCGAAACATTGTGGATGGTAGAGGTACAAAGCGTTTACCAGCGTTGGTAGCCTTCGACTTGGGAATACATACAGCCCTATATAGCCTGTGCCCACCAGTTGCATTTCCCTCGTACCTACATGACCATTAGAAGAAACATCAGCATTTGTCAAACCACTCATAATTAGGTTCAAAGGACACTGTTAGCAGTACCAGTAAGAAGTTCCATTTCCGTGACTAGCAAGATTTTCTTTGCGAAAACAAGATACGTGAGTTCCATCTTTAAGGGCATTGTTTATGTAAGACACTGCATCATCTTGCTGTCCAACATTAAAGTTCAGTAATGAGTTAGTAAAGCTGATAGAGAAGAAGACACTCAGAAAACTCATCTACAAAGGACAAAATTTTGTTCGGTTCAGAAATTTTTTTTGATATCAAGTGTCCACAATTCAGAAAAACAGAGTAAAAAAGCTGTGGATATTTCAATAAAATTTCCATCCAAAAGCATGCCAAGATCAGCAGATGTATAGGAAGTGAAAGGGAGAGAAAAAACATTACCATGGCTCGGAGTTCACATAGAGCTTTCAGTAAAAGTAATCGACCAACCGGATCAAGTTCTTTGTATTGAGATATTTCCTTCCTGAATACAAGGACATAAGGCTACTTAAGCCTATATGTTCGAGCTTCTAGGGAAATTAAAGCATTCAAATAGATGGCAAGTGGATAATTACCCATTAGCCACCGTTAATGGGATATTCCCCTCAGCAACCTGCAATTTGGCCAGTCTCTCATGGTCATCTACTCATTCAGGGAGAACCAGATGAAGAGAAATAGAGAACTAAAATTGACTTACCCACTGCCACCATGGATCCAATTTCTTACAAAGTACAGTCACCCATGCATCAGAACCATCCAATGCTTTGCTAGTAGGCGGAATTCCCTGCTTAGAGTAGATGTTAAGCTAAGAAAATAGCAGCAAATACTGAATGTCCAACCCATAGAAGGATGAAGAAGAAAAGTTGGCGAGTTGGGACATGGACAAGACAAGCCAGTTGCTTTATTCCACTTATCAGAATAAAAAAATGCTATGCTCTTATTCAGACTACATTGACATCACATAAGCCACAGCATTGACGAATCTTCCGGGCAAACTAGATAACAAGGTCTTGCTGACACTTCCATGACCGTTACAACTATAACCTGCTATTGAGAAAACCGTGAGTAGACCATCATAATACCTCCAAAAGAAGTTCCATCCAACATCAAAATAATCTAGATCAACTTAAGGAATGACATTCGCAGGTGCAAGTTGAATATTCAAAAAAAACTTTCATTTGAATAACAAGAGTCCAAAGAAAGCAAATTGGCTGCGCGTATTTGCAGAAAATGCGGGTCATTTTTACCTGCAGAAGTTCCTAGATTATTTTAGTCAGCCCAGCAAACTTCTTTTCAAGCAGATGCCAGCATCCAATATTCCCACCAAATATTAACCTTAAGCTCGTTTGAAATTTGTTTCCCTCATAAAAGTTAGCTTTTCGTTTCTAGTTTTGACCCCCCGAAGTCAAAATTCTAGGCTCTCTATTGAAGCAGGGATCATTTCTCTGGAAACATCACACCATCCAGATACGAAATCACAAGCACGTGTTGAGTAAAGCACTGAAGCAATGATCAGCAACAGACTGACTAAAGACAAAACCATTTCCTAGCTGAGACGACAAGCTGAATAATCATAGAAGCTACCAACATAAGCGCGGGGTCATGAATGTGTAAGAACCTTCAAGAGCTTGATGTGCAGTCGCGCAATCGAAGAGTTCGGCCTAACCAGACCTCCTTCGATCTCCTCGGCAGACAACTTGAGATCTTTCCCAATAACAGGCTCGAAAACCTGCAGGATCATCGAAATCGACGGCACGCTTCAGAGCATTTCGCTTCCTCGTTCGGGAACCAAACAAACATCATGCGTTTACCAAAAACCATAAGAATCAACGAGCGATCGAAGCGCGACACGGCCTTACGCTCAAGAAGTTGAGAACGGAGGCGAGCTCCCATTGCTCCCGCAGCTCCCGGAGGACCTCCGGGCCTATTTCTCCGCCGGTCTCGTCCAGAATCGACGGCGCCTCCTCCTCGCGGCGATCGTCGGCCTTCGTTTCGCCGGCGCCGCCGGCCGGAGCGTCGCCGGCCGGAGCGCGGCGCGGTCGGGGCATGGCGGCTCTCCGGGGGAGTAGAAAGGCCGAGCGAAAACGTCGCGACGCGACGGAGGGAGAGGTGGCGAAGATGATTTCTGAGCACGACGGTTTGTATTCGAGGGAGTGGAGGTAAAATGGTTTTGGTTTCCCGCCCAAAATGGCATTAACCGTGGTTAATCCTTTTTTACCACGGTTAATGCTGACCACGCTATGTACCCGCACACGAGTTAATTAAAAAAAATCTTAGCCTGTTCAAAATTAAGTATTAGCAAAAAAAAAAAAGGGAAAAATGTGCTTCTTAATTTCGTGGCGAAGCTTAAAAAATTATCTAAATCTTAAAAGTCATAAAATAATTATATGGGTAATTATGACTCAATAGTTATAAATTGTGAAAGTTAGAGATGTTTCGAGTTTAAAAAAAAAGGTAAATGTACTTATGCCATAAGATTTTTTCAATGAAAAGGTAAAGATAATTTAAACATGAATTTTTTTTTTGCAAATTCTAATATAAAGTGAAATTTCTAACTAATTCATATATAATGTTGATTAGAAATTTGGGCTTATCATATATTATTAGTATTTATAAATTTTAAATATCATGATTGAATTATTATCAAAACATAGTTTTACATAATTTTAAATAAACATATGGGCGGGTTTGGAAATTTTATCCCAGCCCACTTAAGAAGCGTGAAAAATCAGATCAAAATCGCCCATCTTATGAGCTTCATCATGGGACGTCAATTCATTAATTAGGTCTATTCTAAAATAGACGCTCCAAATTTGTGAATCACCTAACACGTGTTAGTGATTATGTAAACATCAAGGTCATAATTCAGTTGCCCAAAATTGATCCATGAAGTTTTTCCTTTCCCAGCAAATTTGGATAGGATCATTTATCCCTACAATGTACTCTAGATTAGGGGTGTCAACGGGTCGGGTCGGGTCGGGTTTTCATGATACCCGACCCGATCCGAAACAATGAATATATGTGCTTGGCCCGACCCGAAACAAGACCCGAACATGATATAGCCGCACAATCGGGTCAGGTCATGTTTGAGCGGGTACTTTTGACACCCCTAGTTTTGGTTACTTGTCAAACTGAACACACAGAAGCAAGACCCTTTTAAGTATTCAGAATGCTTTTGAATAGAAATTCTGTGTTAATTGTAGTTTAGATTGAAATCGACAGAGGATTTTGCTCCTGAAAACCAGGGGTTCATCGTGATACTTTTCAGTTCTTGATGTTGCGAGAAGCTGATCAATTTGGGAATTCTGATGTTGATAGGTGAGACTTCAAGAGTTGTTCAATGAAGAAGGGTGTGAGGCAAAGCTACGGTTGAGTGAAGACAGGAAGCCTCACGTGACAGATAACTCAAATTACATTGTAGACTTGTATTTCAAGACTCCGATTAAGGACGGTCCCGCCGCCTTGGTCATCTTGATTCGTGCCCCCGAGACGGCGACGCCTTGGTCATCTTGCGAGGATCGTGAGTCGCCGAGAAGCGATCGCCGCTCAAGAGGTCGTCGCCGATGGCGTCTCTGGACCGCTTGCGGTGGTGGTTCCCAGGGACAGAGACGGCGGCGGCAGCGTTGTTGTCGCTGGTCGATGATTTCACCGCGCAGAACTCGGGGATGATGCGGTATTTCCGGAGGCGGCGGCGCGATGGCCGCGAGATCTGGTTGGACGGCGTGGTCTCCGGCAGAAGGATGAAATCCTCCGCCGCCTGGCTAGGGTAGAAACAGGTCGTCTCGTTGGTGAGCTTGAGGACGCCGCGGCCGTCGATCTCGGCGACGCCGCTGAGGGTGATGTTGCCGGCAACGACGGCGCGGCGGAACCCGAGGAAGAAGAAGTCGGCGGCAGGGTCCTGGGAGGAGGAGGGATCTTGAGGGTTTTGGTTATTGTTTGGGTTGACTTATTGTTTGGGTTGGGCTTGGGTACCCAAGCCTAATAGATCCAAACAATACCCAATTCTTTTTATTGTTACCCAAATAAGTTGAGATCCAACCCGACCCAATAAAAAAAATTTCGTGTTCGGGTCGTGTCGGTTCGTGTTTCGGTTCGGGTATTGTGTTTAGTTTTGACACCCCTACTCTAGATAACGTTGCGGTTCTTCCTCAAGTAGACTATTGGTTCGTTATCGTCCCGCTTTCAGCAACGCCGACTGTGCCTCGCTCTACACTTGGGTGAACTTATTAGGCCCGTTAATCCGTTGTGGTAACTTCGCTAGCATTTGGTAAAAAAAGAAGGAAATAATGTGCTCGCTAAGTCCTTACTTGGCTGTAGTTGTTGAAAAGGAAATCAAAATGATGTGAAGTTCGAGCAGCTCTGAAATTTTCGCGGAGGGAGATGCAATCGGCAACTGCAAAACCGACAGTTCGGCTTCTTGGGGCCCGTTTGGTAACGTGCCAAACAGTAAAAATTTCTGTTCTTTTGTTCCCAGAAATAGTTTGGGAACAGAAATGCGTTTGGTAAACTTTTTATTTCCGGGCACATTTTTTCAAATATTTGTGCCGAGAAACAGTTTTGGAAGAGAAATAAGAAGTAAAAAATAGTTGATTCTTGTTTCTCGGCACAATTTTGAGAATCAGTTTTTTTTCTTCTTTTTCTTTTTTTTCTTTTCTTCTTTTTGTATTGCTCTTCTTGGGTTGTGGCCGGTCGCGCGGCGACCAGCCCAGCCCAGGCCGGCGAGGGCGTCACGGCCTCGCCGCCGCCGCGGCGGAGGCGAGGGTCCCCCTGCGCGGCGAGCCGCCTCGCCCGGGCGACGAGGGTCCGCCCTCGCCCTCGCCGGCAGGGGGACCTCGCCTCCGCCTGGCGGCGGCGAGGGCCGTGACGCCTCGCGGCCTGGGCCTGGCCGTCGCGGCCGACCGGCCATGGCCTGGGTAGAAAAAAAAACAATTCAAAATATTATTAATAAAAAGAAATTTGTGTGTAGTTACCAAACGCATTTCTATTCTTTTCTATTACAGGAATAGAAATTTTGGACAGTTTACCAAACGCCTTCAAATGCACAGAAATTGTTTCCGGGCACAGAATAAAAAAAAATCATTTCTGTTCAGAAATAGTTTCCGGGCACAGAATGATTGTCATGCGCACCCTTGTTGTTCTCTACGACCTCCGCATACTTCCGGGATGCATCCAACTCTCTAGGCATTTTTCTTGGTATCAATTCTAGGGGAAAATAGGCCGGAGAGGTGGCCAAGATGACTAAACATAACTTGAAGTTTCCGATGGCCTAAAGTTTCTGGGGTGCTCTAGAATATTCTTAAGGGCATAACAGAGAATGTTCACTCTCTTATGGAGAATTATTGTAATCAAAGAGATAAACGTAGATAAGGAAATTGCATCTCAACCGTTGGATAAGGACAAATTTATGATAATAATTTGGCGGGTCACGTGTATATATATATAGGGGTCATCTTCCATTTGTAACACTCCACAAATCCAATACAACAAGAGTACTAGAGCATTCTTTGCTAACTATACCATTAAATAAAGAGAAAATATACGTTGATAATTTGAGGAATCATGCATACATATCAGGGTTATCTCCTTATTTGTAATATCCCACAAATCCAACTCGAGCTTTCTCTACGTAACGATTCTTTCTTTTATTTGTGTCTAAGTAAGACAGGGAGAGTTTTGCTTTTTAGATGGATGTAATGAGATTATTACTCGTGATTTGACTGTTTGGATTTGAGAGGGAAAAGAAGTGGAGGTAAAATTATTTGAGTTTCCAACCTAAAATTTAATAACTATGGTTAATTCGTTTTTACCATGATCAGTCTTGACTTCAATGTTACCGAGATATCGAAACAACTAATTTGTCCTCATGCTAAATTCTAGAATTCGAGAGACCACAATAATAAATTTGTAAGCAAACACATATACGACACCAGTTAAGCTAGAGTTTTCAATGTCCGAAGAGATTTTTCTGTCAAGAGAGATTAATTAGCGAAAAGATTAACACTTCAAGTTCTTGGGCTCGTAGCCGTGGATCGGTGCCCATCGTCAAATCTAGAGGTAAGCTTAAGACTTGTGACTACTCAGTCGGTGAGCTTGAAGACTGCGACCTATGGCTTGAGCATGCTTGGCATTGTGCAGAAGAAGAGAGAAGAGCGCAAAAGACAGACCAATGGTAAAATATAAAGAAAGGGAAAGAAAAGCTTTTGAATGAAAATACCGAGGAACCGGAAAATGCCCACGGTTAATGCTGACTGCACTATAACTACAAGTGATATGATGCTAATTTATTATGATGATAAGGGATTGTACTCTCAAAATTATGATTTTTGTATAATTCACCAAAAACAAATATAGATGAATTGTGTTGACATATTCAGTTATTCATTGTCAGTTTGTAACAAAAAATTTGCTCATACAGAGAGCAATTCACAAATTCCTAATTTTAACGAGGAAAGAGGACAAATCAGGAAGTCCTCTCCGATTATACAAGGGCCTGACATTTCTTGGGGCGGGGCTGAGGCCACCCGATCTGGATGTCCCAGATTAACATCAAATTGACACGATTTGATTCATTGCATATTGATTTTAAGGTTAATATCACAAAAAATTCGAAACTGATATATTTATAATAAATTTATCTAAAATTAATTTTTTGATCGCAAAAAGTTCCAAACTAGTATACTTATAACAAATTTACTCTTTATTAGTTTCCGTTAAATTTTATTATCAAATTGCTGAGTTGGATGGCACATGGCAGTTAATGAATGTATTAATTTAGAATTTTACCCATCTATTTGTCATAGATTTACTAATTTGTGATTTTTCATAATATTAATACAATTTAACGGATGGTATATTTGTCAAAAATGTACCTGTTTTGGGTTTTTAGTGAAATTTATCACAGATATACCAATTTAGGATTTTCAGTGATAAAAAATGTGTTCGGGATAAATTGTCACAAGTATACCAATTTAGGGTTTTTCGTAGTATTAACCATTTATTTTAAGGGCAAAAGCCATAAAAAAACTCCAAATTATGTGCGCATTATAACACAACTACTATAAACTTTTTTCTACGATACAAAAAATCTCAAACTTGTACTATATGACATATTTACACTCCGTCAAAATTCTTATCACTTA